CTTTCACAGTAATTCCTGGAAATACATCTCCGGCTGCTCATTTTGATGCTGCTTCACAGTCTATGAAGATGGTGCTTGGCTGTAAGTTGAGTTGGGTTTGCTGGCATAGGTTTTTCAGTAGAGTGAATAGTCTGTGGTAGATCTGTCTGCCCTTCCCTGGGAGTAAGGCGAATACCAGTGGATACATGGTTCAATCAATGAATCCATGTAAAGTGTACAGCTGGGCAAACAATGATGGACATGCATAAAATGTTCCGTCGCCATACACTGTTTCTGCGTCACACAGATGCTGTAGGTTCTTTATTGTTCCGAATATTAGAATCTTCTCATCGTCGCCATCATCTGCCAGTAGAAATCTTTCTCCAGTTCTTGTCTCCGTCCATTCGCCTTGTGAGTCGATGTCAGGTCTTGTCTTGGGTAGTACGGGTATACTTTCCTGTCGTTGGTTGTAGAGGCTCTGTCTGCATGACTCAAAAGTTGGCATATGTTTTACGAGTTCTTTTGTTGTTTCATTCCAATCTTCATTGCGTAACTTTACCACTTCATCTCGGTACAATGTAGGAATATGAGTTAGTTCTTCTATGCATCTTTTCTTCACAGTATTCAAAAAGTTGTCTACTATTATCTTCATTCTGTCGCTGTTGTGCTGGTGGTTGGCGTTGACTTTGGTGGGAATGTCATTGCAGGTGTTGATGGTAGCTGTACATCCTCTTGTAGCACACTTCCAGTAACATCTTTCTCCACGTCTGTTCTTCACTTGAAATCTATAGCCATTGTGGATTAAGTTTTGATTACCACGTCGGTTGGTCGAGAATGAAACTTGTAGTTGTGCATTTGCCATTGTGGAATAAGAATACTGAAATACTACAAGGAATGAGATATTTATAGGTAAATCAGCTTGGGTTGTGAACTGTTTTAAGGATGGGTATATTCACCACTAAAACATCAACATCCCAAGCTATCTGATTATTATTTGGTATCTTTGTTTGCATTAGTGAATTATATTATAAGTGTAAACCCATGCTCATATTTCCATAACCATCATAACAAACTTTTATGTTATTTATTTACTATTTCATATATAATATTTTTTACGTGCATTTCTGGTGTTTATTTTGTTTCATTCCAAAAATCTACAAATCTACAAATATAATGAACATTTTCTAAAAGGTTTTTGTCCCTAATATTATGATTGGATGTTGGATTAAAATTCTTAAGTGTTATAACAACACCAGCCCTTCCATTGTCTTTTGCATGTGGGAAAACCTGGAATAGTTTCAATCTAAAAGTGGGAATAGCTTATATAAACCGTTACCATCAGTAGTATTAAAGTGTTAAACATCTGTCAATGATCAGATTAGAAAGGTGACTATCAGTAAAACCTTCCTTTCATTTTGAATTGTTCAAACATGTGATAATATGCTTAAAAACAAAATTTGAACAAAATATGCAATTGCCATAATGGCACAATGCACAATTAGAATTAAAAATTTTAACACATATAAAACAATATCTCTTAAGTTTTTTTTTTAATATCTGTCAAGTGAAGGTATGATATTGAATATCCAGAAATGACAGAAGCGACAAAGTTACGGTATTGAGTGTACATGTACATACATAGTTAAGGAAATGAAATATTGTTTAAACTTAAAAATTGAGTACTTTTTTCCGATTCAACTTACTTCATTGCGTTGTGTTCACAAGTACAAATAAATGAGACTTTCTGTCTATCGACGTACAGTAGTTGCATTTATACAAAATCAAAGTGCAAAACAAATATCATTTTCACGATACGCAAGAGTAGGTTAGTTTATGATTGTGTATATTTTTTTTAATATATATATTTTTTAAACATACACACCGTCATCATGAGAATAGGAAAGTTTAGTTGAAGCCATATACATTTGCAAAAAAAGTCCACAAACAAAACAAACAAATAAGATACACACATACATAAAAAAAAAACAAAAACATTACGTATTAAATTTAATGCCGATCGCTATAAAAAAATCAAGTTCTTTTTCTATTAACTGTTCAAGTCGGGTTTGGCAACACCTTGACATTGTATTGGTACTTTGTAAAACGTTCTTTCCAATAGTAGGAAGCCAAAAATTCTTCAGCACATTTGCATTCAAGTTAAATATGCGACCGATTCTGCTCTTAATACATAATTCATATATTTATTCAAAACTTTATTTCTTTGCAATTTTGTTTAAAGGTAAACCATTTACAACGCCTCCTCGTATGCATATAACATGTACCGTGCACAAATATCCCATATGTGCCTCTGTTGGCATTTATCGACATCCGGAGGTCTGCGCAAGACAGGAAGTTATATATAGTAAAAGATAGCTTTCTTGACGACAAATTCGGTTTCTTGATCGACAGGTAGGTTTTATACGTGAATGTTATGACATTATCAGTTAATTTTTTTGAAGTTGTTGTTGTATTTGGTCTTCTTATCAGTTATATCAACGTGTTGCGTTGATGTAAACAAGGAATGTTGAATTTAGCGAAAGAGAATGTGCACATCTACCTGATGTTTACACCTGTACGAAAACGGCGGTGTAATTGAGCTGCTGTAACAATGCAGTCCCTTATGTTTAAGATGCTCTCTTTGTCCCATCCGCCTACATTTGATGAATGTTTATACTATCATAGCAAAAAATATATTGATCGATGTTTACATGTTGATCTTAAGATAAAGCGCCATATTTGAATTTGTTTTGGTACACGTTGCGACATGTCACCATGAAGTTTGTATATTATCATCTGATATCTCTGAATCTCACTCAAGCATCGTGATTTTGGTTTTCGCGTGTAAAATATTTTAGAATACTATTACCAATATTGGGCACGAAATGCAGATCGTTATTATCATTTAGATTTGAAAATAAGGTCTAGATCTGCCAGAGCTTCAAAACGGGGATTTGTTACAAGTTTTACTGTATAGCATCGTCTTTATATACTCATTACGTTTGAAACATCTTCTGATTTGTTGAGGTTCTGGCAACTTTATGATTTTCTTTTATGGCTTTGTCTAGAGTACTCAGCAAGAGTAGGAAGAGGCCGAATATTAGTACTAGTCCTCTCAACTGCTATTTTCAATGTACACTTTGTGATTTACCAATGTACTGATGTATCAGGGATTGAGTTCCTGTGCATCTCCTTTACAAGTTTTAAGTCTGAAAGAAATCATTTATTATTGCAACTTGTGCAACATACAATTTATATTGAGAATACATGGTCAGTGTCTTAAAAAATAAGCTAAATTTTGGCAAAGGTGAAGAAAGACAAAAGTGACAAACCTCTCTAACCGTGTATTTTATATAACAAACACTGTTCCTCCAATATGTATTCTGACGATACCTCAGTTGAGTGCAGTGATAAGTCCATTGATGTCATAAGTGACAAACTAAATGCTGATGCAAGTCTCATTTCTGAATGGTGTAGATCTAACAAAATGTGTATCAATACTGAGAAAACAAAATCTATGTTGATTGGCACTTACCAACGTAAGAGCAGACAAAGTCAGCAATTAAATATTGAAATCAATGACACTGTGATTGAAAATATAAAAACAGAAAAACTTCTCGTGTCACTGTAGATGATTGTTTGTCTTGGAATACCCAAGTTAACAATGTGTACAAAAAACTGTCTTTTTACATTTTTCAAATGAAACGTTTGAGAGTGTTCCTTAGCCAGTCTTCCTGTTTAACATACTTTAACTGTTTTGTAAATCCACACTTTAACTATTGTGTAAATATCTGGGGCAATACTTCACATAATAATATAGCCAAGCAAGAAAAACTCCAGAAAAGAGCTGCTAGGATTATCTTGAATTGTGATTTCAATACTCCCTCCAGTGACATGTATAAGAAGCTGAACTGGTTACCTTTTACATAGCGAGTGATGTACAACCAATCAGTTTTAATGTACAAGGTTTTACATGGTCTGGCTCCCCAGTATCTGTACAATTTTAGATACTTCTGATGTCCAGTCCAGATTTACTAGATCATTATCTAATAATATATTTCATCTACCGGCTTTTAAGACTGCATTGTATAAGAAATCTTTTACCTATCAGGGACCATATACAATGTACCTGGAATATTTTACCAGATTCCGTGAGAAACGCACCATTACTTTTATCTTTTAAACAAAGTGCCAAAAAGTTTTTTATGGACTCCACTAAATTTGCTGTGGATTCTTTAACTGATGCACGTTTTTCCTGTTTTCTTAAATGTTTCTCTGTTTTATGTACTTTTTGTAATATTGTACATTTTATGTATACTTGACCAGAAGGTAGACAAGTCTTTGACTCATTCTGTTATCAAGTATAAATAAAGACAATTATTATTATTATTATTATTATCCAGCAACATTGACTGAAAATCACACCATCAAAACTTCAGTACTTTCATTGTTCAATCTTTGTTTTTTGTCATTGACATTGTGCTGAATTTTGTCTGATAAGGTACGCCAAAATAATTGCTTTGCTTAGAAATGTACTTTCAAACTTCAATGGATATAACCAAAATTTTATTAATTTTCATTTCTAAAAACATTTTCATTTTTACATAAAAAAAAATCACATATTTGACAGTATTTTATATTATTTGACTTAACTTTAAAGTAAAGTAAGTCCATCAAAAATCATGATGATCTAGTTATTTTAAATATAATTTGTTTTCATTTAACACAAGTATGAATTACTCCTAATAGCTCTGTTCATAGCAGACAGCATTTTATGATAGATGGTAGAAGTGCCCCACACCATTAACACAGACTGTATTACGGTACTACAATAGTATCATAACCATAGGTATGTGGTTATTTTTCATCATAGTCAATTAAATAAAATGATTAGAAATTTTTGGGGCACTCTTCCTCAATTCATATATAGTAAAACCTCTTTGGTTTGACTAAATATTCTGGAAGATAATCTACTTCAAATTACAATGTAATTGTCTTTTACAGACTGAGACGGAGTAAATCAGTAATGAGTGTTACATACTGATGAGGAGCAAGCTGTACCAGTATTAGGTGTCTGGTTAAAATTGATTACAGACATGGATATGATTCCAGTGAGAGACCCTGGTGGGGGTAAACACAATGATGCTGGTAAGTGTTCCAAATTCAGCATTGTTTTCTTTTATTGATGTGATACTAATGAAGTATAACACTCGGTTATGGAGCATCAGTTTAATATTTGTTAATAGACATATTATCTTAGCTTTGTAAAATCATCAACATCTTCCATATATTATACAAATCATGGCAATATTCATGTTCCATTTTATTAAGTTGTGTTGTGTGTTTTATATAGGTGTGGAACAGAAGGCTGCACAACAGAGGAGAATGGTGTCCCGCTGGGACAGGGATAGCCTAGAGGACAAATACCTTCGTATGTATGAGGAAAACATCATCCTTAAAAAACATGCTCGCAAGCAGGAGGACAAAATTAAAAGGTGATTAAGATAAAAAAAGATGATCAATACCAGCACATTTATATGTGATAATTCATCATGTATGTGTTAACTGTAGATTATCCTTCATATGTTCTTAATATTGATAATTTTTTTGAATCATTGTCTTTTTAAGAAGACTAGATCATGAATATTGGCACAAGTAACATCATTGCTGTACATTTTTATAAGGTTATTGATTATGTCCCTAGTTTCTGTTGTACTATACAAGCCTGATAAGTTTTATTACAGATAATTCTCCTTCTCTGTTTAAGGATGGCTACTAAATTATTACGATTAGTTAACGACAAAAAGAAGACCAATGAAGTAGACGGAGGAGAAACAAGAGGTAACTAGCCACTTCATATCATTATGAATTTACAATAAGACTGTACAAAGTTTTAATCTTTCATTAATAATGCCTCTTACATTTAGTAGGACCTAGATACTTAACTCTGTGATACATTGATTTACATAACCTTGCACCATAGTGTTAGAAATGTTTACTAAATGTGTTTCGTGTAAGATATTTTTAGTGAATTGTTTTAGGTGTGTATTATATTACTAGAAATGTTTCTTACCCAGAGATCCATCATGTACTGTTTATGATAGATCATTTGAAGTCGGTAACAATCAATTGTCCAGTTTAGTAGATTATTCAGAGTACCTATCAATGTTCCTCCTTGTATTTTAAAACTATGGAGACAGCTCTACCTCTAACATTGTATTCATATAGGAAGTCCTACCTCTAACAGTGTATTTATATAGATAAGTCCTACCCCTAACAGTGTATTTATATAGAAAAGTCCTACCCCTAACAGTGTATTCATATAGGAAGTCCTACCTCTAACATTGTATTTATATAGGAAAGTCCTGCCCCTAACAGTGTATTTATATAGGAAGTCCTACCCCTAACAGTGTATTCATATAGAAAAGTCCTACCGCTAACATTGTATTCATATAGGAAAGTCCTACCTCTAACAATGTATTCATATAGAAAAGTCCTACCCCTAACAATGTATTCATATAGGAAGTCCTAACCCTAACAATGTATTCATATAGAAAAGTCCTACCCCTAACAGTGTATTCATATAGAAAAGTCCTACCCCTAACAATGTATTCATATAGAAAATACCTCTAACAAAAGTCCTGCCCCTAACAGTGTATTTATATAGAAAAGTCCTACCCCTAACAGTGTATTCATATAGGAAGTCCTACCTCTAACATTGTATTTATATAGAAAAGTCCTACCTCTAACATTGTATTCATATAGGAAGTCCTACCCCTAACAGTGTATTCATATAGGAAGTCCTAGAAAAGTCCTACCCTAACAATGTATTCATATAGGAAGTCCTACCCCTAACAGTGGATTCATATAGGAAAGTCCTGCCCCTAACATTGTATTCATATAGGAAGTCCTAACCCTAACAGTGTATTTATATAGAAAAGTCCTACCCCTAACAATGTATTTATATAGAAAAGTCCAACCTCTAACAATGTATTTATATAGGAAAGTCCTACCCCTAACAGTGTATTTATATAGGAAGTCCTACCCCTAACAGTGTATTCATATAGGAAAGTCCTGCCCCTAACAGTGTATTCATATAGGAAGTCCTACCCCTAACAGTGTATTCATATAGGAAAGTCCTAACCCTAACAATGTATTCATATAGGAAAGTCCTACCTCTAACAATGTATTCTTATAGAAAAGTCCTACCTCTAACATTGTATTCATATAGGAAGTCCTACCCCTAACAGTGTATTCATATAGGAAGTCCTACCTCTAACATTGTATTTATATAGGAAAGTCCTACCTCTAACAATGTATTCATATAGGAAGTCCTACCTCTAACAGTGTATTTATATAGGAAGTCCTGCCCCTAACAGTGTATTTATATAGGAAAGTCCTACCTCTAACAATGTATTCATATAGAAAAGTCCTACCTCTAACAATGTATTCATATAGGAAGTCCTACCCCTAACAGTGTATTTATATAGAAAAGTCCTAACCCTAACAATGTATTTATATAGGAAAGTCCTGCCCCTAACAGTGTATTTATATAGAAAAGTCCTAACCCTAACAATGTATTTATATAGGAAAGTCCTGCCCCTAACAGTGTATTTATATAGAAAAGTCCTACCTCTAACAATGTATTCATATAGGAAGTCCTACCCCTAACAGTGTATTTATATAGGAAAGTCCTGCCCCTAACATTGTATTCATATAGGAAGTCCTAACCCTAACAATGTATTCATATAGGAAGTCCTACCTCTAACAATGTATTCATATAGAAAAGTCCTACCTCTAACAATGTATTCATATAGAAAAGTCCTACCTCTAACAATGTATTCATATAGAAAAGTCCTACCTCTAACAATGTATTCATATAGAAAAGTCCTACCTCTAACAATATATTCATATAGAAAAGTCCTAACCCTAACAGTGTATTCATATAGGAAGTCCTACCCCTAACAATGTATTCATATAGGAAGTCCTAACCCTAACAATGTATTAATACAGAAAAATCCTTGAAAACTGTTGGTGCATATCTTGAATTTTACAAAAGAGGGTTTATGCATCCTCATTCAGGAGTAAAGTAGAACACTGACCTATGTATGGTGCTATATTTCTAACATGATTTCAAAAAGTTAGTATTTTCAATAAACTATGTCTGACAAGTTCTCAAAGTCAGTAATGGAAATGGATTAACTTAATACAAGAGACTAGACAGTAGTTTGAACGGTACTTGTTTCTTTAGTTACATGTACGATGTTTTTTCCCCTTAATTCTTTCAAGGTAAAAAAGTTAAGGATGTGGAAATGGAAGAAAAGATTGAAGAACTAACAGAGAAAATCCGTAACATGGAGAAGCAAAATGTGCAGCTGAAAGAAAAGGTATGATATAATATATAAGTGAATTTTGAGAAGGCGAGCCAGAGAAAAATAGTGAAAGGAGCAGACTAGAAATTTAAAGATAGGTGGAGGGGGGCTTGGGGGGGGACACAGATGAGGCTGTGGTGTAGTGTGGGTTATAGGGAAGAACATGATTTAGGGTAGACTATGGCATAGAATTAAGTGTTACAGGAATCTGAGGCATAGTGTAGAACTGAAGGAGAAAGTGGAAGGGGAGACAGAGACATCTTAAGGGTTTGGGTAGGAAGTTTAGACAGAGTTATGATGTTTTGACTGTGGTTTGCTTTTGAAAATATACTATAGAAAAAGTATGCCATTTGTCACACAGCAAATATTTTTATTCATTAATTTTTTAGCTGAAAAGGTAAGTCTTGCATTGTTGAATAAAAATTATCTTGTTTTATAGTTGATGTTGTCCAAACAGCAGTTGGCCACTAACAAGCGGTCCACTCCATACAACCATGTGGGATCAAGGATCAGCACAGTAAGTTTCTTAATATAATTTCTGTTGATCACCAGCAACAGGGTCATGTTCCAAAATAAAATTTCTGTTGATCACCAGCAACAGGGTCATGTTCCAAAATATAATTACTGTTGATCACCAGCAACAGGGTCATGTTCCAAAATATAATTTCTGTTGATCACCAGCAACAGGGTCATGTTCCAAAATATAATTACTGTTGATCACCAGCAACAGGGTCATGTTCCAAAATATAATTACTGTTGATCACCAGCAACAGGGTCATGTTCCAAAATATAATTACTGTTGATCACCAGCAACAGGGTCATGTTCCAAAATATAATTACTGTTGATCACCAGCAACAGGGTCATGTTCCAAAATATAATTACTGTTGATCACCAGCAACAGGGTCATGTTCCAAAATTGATAGGGTTGGCCAGGTGGCAGTGTTTTTAAACATGATATCTTAGTCAGTTTACAATTTGAATTATTCTTAATGAAGGAACACATATTTGATCTGTTTATTTATTTCTGTAAAGATAATGGATTCTGCTTTTGTTGTATATTTTTCCCATTGAGTTTGTGATTCTTTTTTTCAGGGAATTTCTCGCACACAACCTCAACCTGACTCCAGACTTACCAAGAACATGAGAGTTACTGGCCCTATGGACTCACCACCAGGGTAAGGAGATGAAGTAGTAAAAAATATTAGAACCTCTCTTGCAATGTTGCTGTAACAAAAATCATTCTACAGGACAAACTTATTTTTTGGATTGATGTTTTTTAGTGTCATTTTGTTGTGATATTTGTAAATATCATTGTTCACACCACAATTGATGATGTTTGGCATATATTGTTAATAAGATAATTAATAAGAGTCTCTAAATTATGACAAATTTTGTCTCTGTTATAGTAATTGAGTATTATGGTGTTCCATGCATTGTGAGCTATCAGTTAGTGAAATCTATTCATTACTATCTACTGATTCCTTATCAGGAGGATGACGGGCAGTCCTACACAGCCAAGATACGGCCACAGTTTACTGGAGAATGCTAGGGCTGACCTCCACCACAAGTAAGTTATCAGTTCATAGCTATGTCTGTTAATACTGGAGAATACTAGGGATGACCTCCAGTACAAGTAAGTTATCAGTTCATAGCTATGTCTGTTAATACTGGAGAATGCTAGGGATGACCTCTAGCATCAGTCATCAGATCATAGCTATGTCTGTTAATACTGGAGAATACTAGAGATGACCAGTTTTATCTATATACAATGTTATTAATGTGATAGTCATTTGACATGAAATTCATACTTATTACATAGTGTATATATACAATGTTATAAAAAAAAAAACCCAGCCAAGTGGAAACTAACATTATTATTTATTTTTGAAGGGATGACCAAATAGCACAACTACACGAACAGATGGAAATGTATGAAATCGAGATAGAGAACATGAGACAGCAGGTAAGCTAATGAAGGACAGACGTCCCCAGTATATTGTTACTATACAGTACATAAAGAAGTATGTATGTTAATGAGAGACAGACGTCCCCAGTATATTGTTACTATACAGTACATAAAGAGATATACAAGTAAGTTAATAAGGGACAGACCTCCCCAGTATATTGTTACTATAAAGTACATAAAGAAGTATGTATGTTAATGAGGGACAGACGTCCCCAGTATATTATTACTATACAGTACATAAAGAAGTATGTATGTTAATGAGGGACAGACGTCCCCAGTATATTGTTACTATACAGTACATAAAGAAGTATGTATGTTACTGAGGGACAGACGTCCCCAGTATATTGTTACTATACAGTACATAAAGAAGTATGTATGTTAATGAGGGACAGACGTCCCCAGTATATTGTTACTATACAGTACATAAAGAAGTATGTATGTTAAAGAGATATACCAGTATATTGTTACTATACAGTACATAAAGAAGTATGTATGTTAATGAGGGACAGACTTCCCCAGTATATTGTTACTATACAGTACATAAAGAAGTATGTATGTTAATGAGGGACAGACGTCCCCAGTATATTGTTACTATACAGTACATAAAGAAGTATGTATGTTAATGAGGGACAGACGTCCCCAGTATATTGTTACTATACAGTACATAAAGAAATATACAAGTAGTTTAATGAGGTACAGACTTTCCCAATACACATTCCATTTCCATTTCATGTTTTCATTTCACACAAGATTAATCTCACTTTGGAAAAGATATGAAACAAAGTTCTGTTTTTTAACCTCCATTTTCAGTATTAGTGTCCTTGTAAAATCATGAAAAACATTCTGTAACGTGTACCATTACTGTGGTGTGTTGTTCAACCTATAACCAGCTATTGATATGGGAAAAGTAAGGATTAACTTAGTGAGTGTTGACTTCCAATACTTTATTTTAATTGTGTGTAGACTCCGTAAGCTACTATTTACTTTATAGCTTATTGGTTGTCTTGTAACTTACAGCTGAGGTTAAAGGAAGCTGAGCATGAGGAAGACCTAGTCAAGATAAAACAGCAGATTACTGCTGAGCAACGGTGAGCAATTTATATAAGGGTAAAGGGTTTTATCTGAGGGTACAAAGATTTATCTGAGGGTACAAAGATTTATCTGAGGGTACAGGGATTTATCTGTGAGTACAGGGATTTATCTGTGAGTACAGGGATTTGTCTGTGAGTACAGGGATTTGTCTGTGAGTACAGAGATTTATCTGAAAGTGCAGCTATGTTAACTTTGACATTATAATACTGGTATTGCTATTTCTGAAAGTGACTTCTACTTTTTTTTTTCATTCTTCTTTGATTTTTCAGGATACCCTTAAAATTACATGTTTTTAAGAATACAAATATTCAATAAAAATATGACATATGAAGTACTTTCAACATCATGCCACATCAATTTGCTATCTTTTGTATTAGAGTGACTGTCCAAGAAAACATTGACCTGATTCGCCTACAACGTGAAGTGAAAGAGAGGTCCACACAGTATCACACCCTGCAGGAGAAATATGTTCTTCTAGAACAGGTAAATATTCTAAGGACAGGATATGATAAGTGATATCCAATGAATTCATCAACAAAAATTGTAATTTCCAAAGCATTTGTCTCAACAGATATCAGAAAATATCTACTTTTGACTTGCTGAATGTAAGGGTCAGTACTCTGACAGCATAACACTTTATACTGACTGGTATTGGCAAATACTTTGACAGAACATGCAGACAATGAAACACAGCCATGACAGCATGCTGATGGAAATGGAGAGACTCAACATGCAAGTGAAAGAGGAGCAGAATCGTGTACTGACACTCCAGAATGAACTCAAATTTGGTACAACTAACAACAGGAAACTGATCGAGGTAAATCTAGTCCACTGTATCACACCACACAACATTCTATTATATATTTATCTACTACTTACCAGTAATAGATAAATAGAAGGTAATACAGGTAAATCTAGTCCACTGTATCACACCTCACAACATTCTATTATATATTTATATACTACTTACCAGTAATAGATAAATAGAAGGTAATACAGGTAAATCTAGTCTACTGTATCACACCTCACAACATTCTATTATATATTTATCTACTACTTACCAGTAATAGATAAATAGAAGATAGTAGAGGTAAATCTAGTCTACTGTATCACACCTCACAACATTCTATTATATATTTATCTACTACTTACCAGCCATTCCTGTCAGAGTTGTAATAGGGAAAAGGAAAAGTCTAAAGAGAAGATGATTTTACAAAATAGTTGTATTTTGACTGCAGAAAGATGTTGTAATCCCATACTTCAAATATGTTTGATTTGATCACAAAGCAAAGCTGAATGGAATGTAATAATCTTGATTAGTACAAAAAATATATATAAGGGGGTATCTGTTTTAATGGTAAAATCATTAGAAAGTTTCTATAGGGAGGGAATATTCTTGTTTTTTTAAAACCATACAACACAAAGTCTTTTTGTAGAGGGAATAGTGTCGTGTTTTTGAAACTGAACAACACAAAATTTATATCAGAGAGAATATTCTTGTATTTTTAAAACCAAACAACACAAAGTTTATATCAGAAGTAATATAACCAGAGTATTGATGATTAAACAAAAAGAAGTACACTATTATACATCTGTTTGGTATGATCAACAACAACAAAATCAAATACCCTTTAGTACATCTGTTCAAAAGGAAATATTGCTGCCTGATCAGAAATGATGTCAGTATGTTATGACTTTAAACGGCACAATCTTATAGGTTTATTTACCTTAATTTAGATGTAAACAATTTTTAATATTACAGTTTGCCATAGTTCATATGTAAACAATTTTGATATTACAGTTTACCTTACTTTAGATGTAAACAATTTTGATGTTACAGTTTACCTTACTTTAGATGTAGACAATTTTGATGTTACAGTTTACCTTACTTTAGATGTAAACAATTTTGATGTTACAGTTTACCTTACTTTAGATGTAAACAATTTTGATGTTACAGTTGAATGAACAGATCATGAGTCTGGAGAAGGAAAACCAGATCCTTAAGGAAGCTAATGAGAAGTTTGTCAGCAGGTATAACATCAATTTTTTTTTTATATCTCTCATGTTTAAGTACAGATGTGGTGTTATTTATCTTAAAGTCAATTAATTTTATTTTTGATGACATTAATATATCATAATTTAAAAACATTTTAATTCATGTCTATAAACAAATATAGATACAATGTATTTGATTTTGTTTTCTCAGTGCATTTGACCTGGACAGAGAAAGAGAATGGCGACAGAGAGAGAATGCACTTAAAGTGCAGATAGCCCAACTGGAGGCCACACTGAAGGCTGACCTTGGTGAGAAGGGTGGAATTCTCGACCAGCTTGCTAGTGAGAAAGGTAACTAAACTGATATTTATATTTCATATTTATGGCACACAATATGTGCATACCTATTTGTGGGGTGTTTTTTGATACTGATTCAATGACATGTTTATATTTTCTCTTACACACCTGCATATGTTCAATTTTGTTTATATTTTTTTTCTGATACCTGTCCTCTCTTCTAAGATGTTGATGATAGGCTGATGAAACATCTGATGTGTATTTTTTTTAAATTTTCCTTCCATTGATCAGCATTCATGTCTGTGTTTAGTATCACTTCTCAAACATTCTTTTTTAGGTTTTCTTACACTAACCAATACACCACTTAATGTTATATTTGAAAAAAACCAGTACTGATATCTATATGTTATACTGACAGAGCAACATGAGAAGCTTCAAGCCACTTTCAGACAGATGCAAATAGAACACTATCAACAGAAGGAGGAATATGATGATCTCAAACAGAAGATGAAATTCTTCACAAAGGTAGTTTTCTCCCCTTGTACTATTTGTTCTAGAACAGGAGATAAAATTCTTCGCCAAAAGAGGAAAGAGAAAATAATGAGTGCATGTTTTGAGTGAGTGTACATGGGTGTAGTGTGATGTGTGTCAGGGTGTGTATGTGTATGTGAGTCTAGTATATATCGTGTGTTGCATACCTTTGTAAAATCTTGAAAAACAAAATAAAAAAAAAAAAAAAAAAAAAAAAAAAATTCTTCGCCAATAGATGGTATCAGGCTAATCTCAATATATTTTTTTACCTGTGTTATGGTAACTTGGTCATTTGTGAATAGTTTTATAGTGTTAGAATCTTTTCACACTTACTTGTAATATATAATACTGGTCAGTAAAAGAAGGAAACAATATTTATAGTACATTTATATATGATTTCATATCCAACTATGAACTTGTTTCATCTTCATTGAAGGGATAACTCTATTGTGTTCTGAAATTTGCAGCAGTATATCTTGATTATAGTTTTTCAAACTAAGTTTTAATGGCTGTTTGGCGAGTAGAGACAGTTAAGTGGAAAGACTACAAATCTAATAATACACAACAGACTTATCCTTATTCTTATTATGTAGATCTATGAATGCTAGAATATGATAATTTAATACTGTTTTTTGGCATAATCTCTGAAATCTAGGTTACCTTGTGCAGAATTTGTGACACCAGTAACATCAGTTGACCTTTTCTGGTTTATTCTATTGTTCCTGGTGTCATTGATGACTGAGGTCAGTCAGGTCATTGACATGTGAATGTGAATATTTAAATGAGGAATTTGTTAAAGAGTTTTTGTGGTGGATGTACTGTATTAAGTTACTTTCACTGACCAATAAAATGTCTTTGTTACATAGTAGATAAATTAGAATTTTAGAAATTACAAATGGTCAACCAGTGTATAAGAGGTGTCCATTGCATCTTAGTATCTCATCTCTCTGTGTCAAACATAACAAGAAGTAATTCCATATAATATGTATCTTTGACAAAATTGTTTTTTTTTTATCTGTGTTAAGTACAAGATGTATATCTTCAGTGAGCATGGTTATGTGTTTTGTTAGTATAAATCCCCGTTGAATTGAATACAAGTCTTCCTTTCTTGTACACAGGAAAGTGCTATAGATTTCACAGAGATAGAAGAGGCTTTAGTCCTTGTCAAACAAAAGCGGCAGCAGGAACTCCCAGAACCAGATTTTCTACAGAAAGTGGATATAGAAAAGGACAAAGGTCAGTTTGTAGGTGGACATACAGGAGGACAATGGCTATCTTGTACTATGTATAAAGAATCAGTATTGAGTGTGTTTATAATGTAAACAGTATTTGTGTGTATAAAGCATCGGACAATATTTTTTGTATTAAACAGTTAAGATTATTGTACATATAGATCACAAGACAAAATTTCTCTGTGTGTATATTGTATATGGTATAGAAATTAGAGACAATATCATGATATATTGATTTCTGCCTCCAGATGTGAGTCGTTCCCTACTGACACTGCAGGCTGAGTATGCAGAGACGATCCATGAGCTGGAGAAAACACGCAACATGTTGGTGATCCAGCACAAGATAAACAAAGACTACCAACAGGAGGTGTGTAGGATTGTTAGTGTGGTGTTGTGCTAATGTGAGTCTGGAGGTGTGTACTAGCGTTGGTGTGCCAATCTGTAGATGTGTGACTGGAGGTGTGTACTAGTAGTGGTGCGATAATCTGTAGATGTGAATCTATAGGTGTGTACTAGCCTTGGTTTGGTAATCTGTAGATGTGAATCTGGAGGTGTGTACTAGTGTTTAGGGGTCATCTGTTGATGTGTGACTGTGGGTGTGCACTAGGTTTGGTGTAGTAATTTGTAGATGTGTGACTGGAGGTGTGTACTAGTGTTTAGGGGTCATCTGTTGATGTGTGACTGTGGGTGTGCACTAGGTTTGGTGTAGTAATCTTTAGATGTGAATCTGGAGGTGTGTACTAGTGTTTAGGGGTGTTCTGTTGATGTGTGACTGGAGGTGTGCACTAGGGTTGGTGTAGTAATCTGTAGATGTGAATCTGGAGGTGTGTACTAGTGTTGTGTGGTGTTCTGTTGATGTGTGACTGGAGGTGTGTACTAGTGTTGTGTGGTGTTCTGTTGATGTGTGACTGGAGGTGTGTACTAGGGTTGGTGTAGTAATCTGTAGATGTGACTTGTAGTGGTGTAGTGTTCTGTTGATGTGTGTCTGGAGGTGTGTTCTAGTTGTGGTGTAGTGTTCTGTTGATGTCAAACTTGGAATAAATTGTTACATTGTATCAAGGATATTAGGACCCACTAAATAGGTGACATGATTTTTTAAAATTATTTTGCTGCATTTTTAGACGAAACTTCAGATTCAGAAATGACTTGAGTAATCTTCATGGCATGTTCTGTTCACTTCATTTTCTTTATAGTCATATTGTAACAATTTTAATTTTTTTTTTTTTGCTCCTCGGAAAGAGTGAAATTTTTGTAGTAAAGTGACACACTAATGTGTATTTTGGGAATCAAAGAATTTACCAGTTTTCATTGTATGTCTAACAGTGTGTCATTATCGCAATATGACAACAACTCATCCCTGATGTTTACATACCATTAACTTCAAATATGGAAATTTTGTATTTGGGGAAAAAGTTATGAGTGATAAAAATCTTAGATTTAAGTGTACTTGGTAATTTGCTGTAAAACTGCCAAACAAAGTAACAAAGTTAGACTGACAGGAGATGTAATTATGTTTAATGCTAATATTTCTTAGTATGTTGTTTTTGTTTTTTTGATAGGTTGAAATTTCTACCAACAAACTTGAAGAAGTGCGCAAGGAGTATGAAATGAAGCTAGATGAGTATGCTCGATTATTGGACATTAGAGCTGCTAGGATCAAGGTAAGTCAGCTGGCTAACAGGATACCATCAAATGAGTATAGTTGTATGTTACATAGGAGCGTTTCTTAGTACTAGAATCAAAGAGATATAGTTATAAACAGCTGGCCAACAGGATATCATCAAATGGGTATAGCTATATGTTAGTAATAGAATCAAAGAGATATAGTTATAAACAGCTGGCTAACAGGATACCATCAAATGAGTATAGCTATATGTTACATAGGAGGGTTTCTTAGTACTAGAATCAAAGTGATATAGTTATGAACAGTTATATATATCTAGATAGAGATTTTTTTACACACAAATGAGATGAATAGTCTGTGACTTGGGAATGCATGGAAGCAAATGGATGGTGTACTGATGGTAAACATTTGCTATCAACTGAATGTGGATAATTGAATACATTTGAATATTCATGGAAGGAATTACACAGTTGAAGTAGATCATTATTGTAAATTTACCTTTTTTTACTCTAAGACTAGCTACAGGTGTAACAGTATTTGTATATAAGTGTAGCTACGAGTTAGCATTGTTATGTGCTGAAAATACAGAAAGGATGTGACAAAAATTCAGGAATATGGATATTCATGAGATTAAGAAGAAATGAAATCACTTTGAGAAAGTTTAATGAATAGACCTGACTAAATAAATACTTGCTTGCAAATAAACAGTGATGTAGGACCAGGTGTAAGTGAGGGGCAGATTTCTGTCATTAATCAAGATCTCTCACTGATACATGTGTTTCATATATCATATAATCAAAACTTGTTTTTTTACAGAAACTTGAAGCACAATTACGAGACGTCGCCTATGGAACCAAACAGTTTAAGATCGCTCCACCTGTTGATGAGGTAGATACAGAACTCAGTATATATGTATCCTATTTCAGAAAGTTATATATATTTTGTAAAAAAAAATTAATTTGAATATTATTGTAAACAAATTTGCATTTAGTTTTTAAGCTTTTTACCTCAAATTAGAATTATCTTTTTATTTTAAGATAAACTTCTGAATTAAAATAAGTCATTAATTTCAATAAAAAGGTTATGAAGCATTACGATTTGATTGTGTCATTACACACAGGAGGATGCCATTGCTGACTTTGATGAGACCATCCACTTAGAACGTGGTCAGAATCTATTTGAAATCCACGTACAGAAGGTGAGAGGAGAGTTATATTCATCAAGTTAAACTGACATTAGAATTATATAAGTGGTGAAAAGTCTAACAGAAAAATTGTTTTAAGTTGTTGAATAAAATGAATGTAGCGGGTGAACATGTTGAAGAATGGAGTAACTTGTATAATCGACTGCTGAGGTACACATCCTATCATTGCTTAATTATCATGTTTTTCTTCTTCAGTAGATCAGTAGCTTCATGTAGATTTTCTTCAGTGTAGAAAGCATTGTATGAGGCAATAGAATCACACACTGGTAAACAAAATTTTTTAATAATATGAAATATTCTAACGATCTACCCATCAGTCCTCCAGTTGCACTGAAGGAGAGTGGGAAAAAGTCTGTGACCCAATTAAGTTTCAGAACTGATGCAAAATTTAAGAAACATGAAATAATTGGAGTGAATTTTAATGAGAACATCACATAAAAAAGTAAGGGTTAACTATCTTACAACATGTTAGATGATGTTAACAAGTTGGTATTATTCAACTTTACAGGTGTCCCTATCTGACGAGGGTATCAAACACATTGGAGATGATGAACCATCTATCTTCTGTACTTGGGAATTCTTTGAGTTTGAGATTCAGAGTACTCCAGTACTCAAAGGCTCAAGGTAGGCTCAAAAGTGTTATGTCCAGATGCTCACAGATAAAATGTCAAAGTAGACTGTCAGATGTCATGTCAAAGTAGGCTCAAGGGTGTTTTGTCAAGGTAGACTGTCAGGTGTTATGTCAAGGTAGACTTACAGGTGTTATGTCATGGTAGATTGTCAGATGGCCTGTCAAAGAAGGCTGACAGGTGTTATGTCAAAGTAAGCTAACAAATGTTATGTCAAAGTAGACTCACAAGTGTTATGTCATGGTAGATTGTCAGATGGCCTGTCAAAGAAGGCTGACAGGTGTTATGTCAAAGTAAGCTAACAAATGTTATGTCAAAGTAGACTCACAAGTGTTATGTCAAAGTAGACTCACAGGTGTTATGTCAAAGTAGACTCACAGGTGTTATGTCAAAGTAGACTCACAGGTGTTATGTCAAAGTAGACTCACAGGTGTTATGTCAAAGTAGGCTCACAGGTGTTATGTCAAAGTAGACTCACAGGTGTTATGTCAAAGTAGACTCACAGGTGTTATGTCAAAGTAGGCTCACAGGTGTTATGTCAAAGTAGACTCACAGGTGTTATGTCAAAATAGACTCACAGGTGTTATGTCAAAGTAGACTCACAGGTGTTATGTCAAAGTAGGATTACAGGTGTTATGTCAAAGTAGGATTACAGGTGGGTAGGAGTAGGGGGTGGCACAGTGATCAGTAAATGGGTAGAATAAGAACTAGTTCTTGATGAGTGCCATCCCTATGTATTCTGCGGTTACTTTTTTATTGTAAATCATCAGATGTAGAATAATTGTTCTTTTGGTTTTTTTTCCAGACCTGAGTTTGACTTCACATCACAATATATAGTCAAAGTAGACGACTTTTTCTTACACTTCTTACAAAAGGTAAGTTTTTTCTGGCAACTGTCTTTCTCTGTAATTTCAAATAATATTTCATCCTAGAACACAACAAATTTGTTTGCCTTTTTGTTAAGGTGACTTGCAGAACATGTACTGTTATCTGGTCATGTATTTGTCATGTTGTACATATGTCTTGACCATTTGGTTACAAGTCATACTATGCTATTTTGATGTGCTTAATTTTATACCAGTCACACATGCCCATTCATCCCATGGAAAAAAAAAAAGATTTCGTCATATTGTGTTTGTCAAACTCACCTGTCTTTCGTCATTTTGTTTTCTCTTATTCATGTGTCTGTTCTAACATCAATCTGCTCTAGGTTATTTTTTTATGTGTTTCCAGATACATGAAACAGTCTTTTCCATAGTTTATACACTGTCTCTACCCTAATCTATACTGTGTGTTGTTGCCTGTCTCTGCCCTAATATATACCCTGTGTGCTGTTTGTTACATGTCTCTGCCCTAATATATACCCTGTGTGCTGTTTGTTACATGTCTCTGCCCTAATATATACCCTGTGTGCTGTTTGTTACATGTCTCTGCCCAGATCTGTACCCTGTGTGTTGTTGCCTGTCTCTGCCCTAATATATACCCTGTGTGCTGTTTGTTACATGTCTCTGCCCAGATCTGTACCCTGTGTGCTGTTGCCCATTTCTGCCCAGATCTGTATACTGTGTGTTGTTGCCCATTTCTGCCCAGATCTGTACCCTGTGTGTTGTTGCCCATTTCTGCCCGGATCTGTACTCTGTGTGTTGTTGCCCATTTCTGCCCAGATCTGTACCCTGTGTGTTGTTGCCTGTCTCTGCCCTGATCTGAATCCTATCTGTTATCATGCATTATTGATACTTGAAATACCTACCCACTGTGTTGCAGGATTCCTGTACTCTAGAACTCCACCAATCATTTGGTCAGGACTACAGGACAATAGCAGCATGCCAACTGGTCTTCAAGGAGATTTTCAACAAGACACATGGAAGGATTCATGGAACTGCAACTCTAACAGGCAGGTTTCTCCTCCTATAGTAGTGTACTTAATGGTACACACAACATCTGAATCACCAGTGTGTGTCTGTCAGACTTAAGTGACCAGTATGTGTGTCTGTCAGACTGAAGTGACCAGTGTCAGACTGATATTACTATTGTGTGTGTCTGTCAGACTGAAGTGACCAGCATGTGTGTCTGTCAGACTGAAGTGACCAGTATTTGTGTCTGTCAGACTGAAATGACCAGTATGTGTGTCTGTCAGACTTAAGTAACCAGTATGTGTGACTGTCATACTGAAGTGACCAGTATGTGTGTCTGTCATACTGAAGTGACCAGTATGTGTGTATGTCAGACTGATGTGACCTGTGTGTGTCTGTGACCTGTGTGTGTCTGTCAGACTGAAGTGACCAGTATGTGTGTCTGTCAGACTGAAGTGACCAGTATGTGTGTCTGTCATACTGAAGTGACCAGTATGTGTGTATGTCAGACTGATGTGACCTGTGTGTGTCTGTGACCTGTGTGTGTCTGTCAGACTGAAGTGACCAGTATGTGTGTCTGTCAGACTGAAGTGACCAGTATGTGTGTCTGTCATACTGAAGTGACCAGTATGTGTGTATGTCAGACTGAAGTGACCTGTGTGTGTGTCTGTCAGACTGATGTGACCTGTGTGTGTGTCTGTCAGACTGAAGTGACAGTATGTGTGTCTGTCAGTACGTGACCAGTATGTGTGTCTGTCAGACTGAAGTGACCAGTATGTGTGTATGTCATACTGAAGTGACCAGTATGTGTGTCTGTCAGACTGACGTGACCAGTATGTGTGTCTGTCAGACTGAAGTGACCAGTATGTGTGTATGTCATACTGAAGTGACCACTATGTGTGACTGTCAGACTTAAGTGACCAGTATGTGTGTCTGTCAGACTGAAGTGACCAGTATGTGTGTCTGTCATACTGAAGTGACCAGTATGTGTGTATGTGTCTGATGTGACCTGTGTGTGTCTGTGACCTGTGTGTGTGTCTGTCAGACTGAAGTGACCAGTATGTGTGTCTGTCAGACTGAAGTGACCAGTATGTGTGTCTGTCATACTGAAGTGACCAGTATGTGTGTATGTCAGACTGAAGTGACCTGTGTGTGTGTCTGTCAGACTGATGTGACCTGTGTGTGTGTCTGTCAGACTGAAGTGACCAGTATGTGTGTCTGTCAGACTGACGTGACCAGTATGTGTGTCTGTCAGACTGAAGTGACCAGTATGTGTGTATGTCATACTGAAGTGACCTGTGTGTGTGTCTGTCCATGTGACCTGTGTGTGTGTGTGACTGTGACCAGTATGTGTGTCTGTAAGTGACCAGTATGTGTGTCTGTCAGTATGTGTGTATGTGTGTATGTCAGACTGAAGTGACCAGTATGTGTGTCTGTCATACTGAAGTGACCAGTATGTGTGTATGTCAGACTGATTTAACTAGTACTGTTAACAGTGCGACCTTATGTAATTACAGGTGTTGACAGTAGTGGTGGTACTGGTATTGGTTTTGGGAGTGTGGAGTACTGGATAAGGCTACGTGTGCCAATGGACCAGGCCCTCCGTTTGTACAAGGTACATCCAATTAGTTTGCATTATCTTACTCATTTTTTTTTCAAATTAAAACACATTAGAAAAAAATTTACCAGCGCTAACAGAAAACCATAACTACAGATTATAACATAATGATTTAATCTCAATATAACTAGGAACGAACCAAAGCCCTGGGATATGTGACCTCAAATGAAAAGGCTGCAACTGAAGCGTTACAGGCACTGGATGAGACCGCTGTCAAGAGGCCAGCAGATAATGTTAACGAACTTCATGTGAAAATCTTACGTTGTGCTAACCTCAAACCAAGACGAGAGCGTAAGTGTACATTAAAAGAGAAACAATAAATGTTAGACTTTGGCATTGCTTCTAGCAACAGTGTCATCAGAGATAGGACTAGGTTGTTTGATTTCGGACATTGTTGATATTCCAAGTTTACCGATCAATTAGATGCAATAAAGGTTAATTGTTATTTCCAGCTGTCTTATTCTCTCAGTTCTGATGTTATCTTATGTCAATAGAGAACACAAAAATACGTGTAAAATTGATTTTGTTTGATGCCTTACTCCTGTATCATCAGACTTACCAGTTACTATAAGATAAATTTATAGACAACTATATTGTTTTAATTGTGTTGTTTGATGATGTTTTGATGTTTATGTTATTGTTTATAAGCAGTGAAATCAATCACAATTAATGATTTATTATCAGAATAGTTTAATTTTTTTTTTCTTTTTTTCTTTAGATGTTCAGCCATCGCCTTATGTTATCTATCAGTTCTTTGACTTCAATGACCATGATACAGTGATTCTCGCAAGTACCAACAACCCAGAGTATAATGATCACATGACCTATCCAGTACCGATGACCAAAGAACTGGACCACTACCTCAAAACATATGTAAGTCTCGTGCAGTTTTATCCTAAATCCTCAGAACTAGGTCGGACTTTCTGCTGTGAGTTTAGCAATAGCACCAGCCATGTCGTAAATTCCTTTCACTGAAATCTATATCTATGTATTGACGTTTGTTTTGATACATGTTCACTGTAAATGGATGTTAGAGTTTCTGTTTATTCAGACCCTTTCCAGATTTAGAGTTTATGTTCATTGTTGTGTTAAGTGATGGTGGTTCATGTGAAGCAGTTTCTTACATAACAAGTAAAAATTTCAGTGTGATTGAATAAAACAAGAACTGACGGGCAATGAATCCATACAGAGACATTTTTGAGGATTTTTCAGAGAATGGTTATGTTGGAGAGAAGGGCCACCTTGTAGTTAGTGGTGTTTAAACAAGACTATTATCCTTCTTTTTATTTCTAGCAACTGAAGGTGTTTGTATTTGATGATACTGACCCTGAGCAGACGGCATACTTAGGAATCGCAGATGTACCACTCATTCCATTAGCTCACAATAAGTCCATCCAGGGTATCTTTGAGCTTAAAGGAGCCAACGGCAAAATCAATGGAACCATAGAAATGGAGCTTAGATGGCAGTATACATACATCATGCCGAAGGGTGTCCGTATACAGGTAAGGTGACATTCCTATAGCAGTATACATACAGGTCTGGTCACACCCATACAGCTGTATACATACAGGTCTGGTCACACCCATACAGCTGTATACATACAGATCTGGTCACACCCATATAGCTGTATATATACAGATCTGGTCACACTCATACAGCTGTATACATACAGGTCTGGTCACACCCATATAGCTGTATATATACAGATCTGGTCACACCCATACAGCTGTATACATACAGATCTGGTCACACCCATACAGCTGTATACATACAGGTCTGGTCACACCCATATAGCTGTATATATACAGATCTGGTCACACCCATACAGCTGTATACATACAGGTCTGGTCACACCCATACAGCTGTATACATACAGGTCTGGTCACACCCATACAGCAGTATACATACAGGTCTGGTCACACCCATACAGCTGTATACATACAGGTCTGGTCACACCCATATAGCTGTATATATACAGATCTGGTCACACTCATACAGCTGTATACATACAGGTCTGGTCACACCCATATAGCTGTATACATACAGATCTGGTCACACCCATACAGCTGTATACATACAGATCTGGTCACACCCATACAGCTGTATACATACAGGTCTGGTCACACCCATATAGCTGTATATATATATACAGATCTGGTCACACCCATACAGCTGTATACATACAGGTCTGGTCACACCCATACAGCTGTATACATACAGGTCTGGTCACACCCATACAGCTGTATACATACAGGTCTGGTCACACCCATATAGCTGTATATATACAGATCTGGTCACACCCATACAGCTGTATACATACAGATCTGGTCACACCCATATAGCTGTATATATACAGATCTGGTCACACTCATACAGCTGTATACATACAGGTCTGGTATCACCCATACAGCAGTATACATACAGGTCTGGTCACACCCATACATCTGTATACATACAGATCTGGCCACACCCATACAGCAGTATACATACAGGTCTGGTCACACCCATACATCTGTATACATACAGGTCTGGTCTCACCCATACATCAGTATACATACAGGTCTGGTCACACCCATACAGCTGTATACATACAGGTCTGGTCACACCCATACATCTGTATACATACAGGTCTGGTCACACCCATACATCTGTATACATACAGGTCTGGTCACACCTATACAGCAGTATACATGCAGGTCTGGTCACACCTATACAGCAGTATACATACAGATCTGGTCACACCCATACAGCTGTATACATACAGATCTGGTCACACCCATACAGCCCTATACATACAGATCTGGTCACACCCATACAGCTGTATACATACAGATCTGGTCACACCCATACAGCCCTATACATACAGATCTGGTCACACCCATACAGCCCTATACATACAGATCTGGTCACACCCATACAGCCCTATACATACAGATCTGGTCACACCCATACAGCAGTATACATACAGATCTGGTCACACCCATACAGCTGTATACATACAGATCTGGTCACACCCATACAGCCCTATACATACAGATCTGGTCACACCCATACAGCTGTATACATACAGATCTGGTCACACCCATACAGCCCTATACATACAGATCTGGTCACACCCATACAGCTGTATACATACAGGTCTGGTCACACCCATACAGCTGTATACATACATGTCTGGTCACACCCATACAGCTGTATACATACAGATCTGGTCACACCCATATAGCTGTATATATACAGATCTGGTCACACTCATACAGCTGTATACATACAGGTCTGGTCTCACCCATACAGCAGTATACATACAGGTCTGGTCACACCCATACAGCTGTATACATACAGATCTGGTCACACCCATACAGCTGTATACATACAGGTCTGGTCACACCCATACAGCTGTATACATACAGATCTGGTCACACCCATACAGCTGTATACATACAGATCTGGCCACACCCATACAGCAGTATACATACAGGTCTGGTCACACCCATACATCTGTATACATACAGGTCTGGTCACACCTATACAGCAGTATACATACAGGTCTGGTCACACCTATACAGCAGTATACATACAGGTCTGGTCACACCCATACAGCTGTATACATACATGTCTGGTCACATACATACAGGTAAGATGACATTCCTGTAGCAGTATACATACAGGTCTGGTCACACCCATAAAGCTGTATACATACATGTCTGGTCACACCCATAAAGCTGTATACATACATGTCTGGTTTACATAGATTATGACAAAAATTGAGCATTATCCATTTGTTTAACTGCTGCACATTTTTCTAGGATCCTATTAAACTGCTGTTTATTTTCCAGGACCCACCTGTGATTGAACCAGTTGCACCACCCTACGCCTCACCACAACAGGAACATTCAGACTCAGATAGGCAGTCTGTGGCTGAATCTGACATCACACCAGTCAAACAGAAGTCAAGGGTAGCAGCCAAGTTCCCTGACCCAACAGCTACTTCCACTCCTATGCCAGCACCACCAGAGCGTCGGGAGGGAGAGCCAGCTAAGGTCAGGATCCAGGAGTTCTCACCTAACAAGAATTACTGTTAATTTCTGTCCTTGATAAATGCCTTCTATAGTTTTTACATCAATATATGATTATGTAGTGATATTTTGTTATCATGCTTATTGAATATGTGTCAGTTTTTTTTCACATTTTGCTATGTTTTTCTTGTGAGAAATCAATGAAAATGTAATTTGTGTTTTTGATTATTGTTCTTCTTCATGTTTAATGTAGAAAATTCCAAAGCGTCGACTCCACAAAGAAGATACAGCTGAAGAGCCATCACTCGTCAATGATGCTGTGAAAGGAGTGATTTCTGATATCATGCCGTCCAGTATGTCTGACTCAATGACAGAAACCCTACCAGGTAAGTCTGATCTAGTAACAGAAACCCTACCATGTAAGTCTGATTTAGTGACAGAAACCCTACCAGGTAAGTCTGATTTAGTGACAGAAACCCTACCAGGTAAGTCTGATCTAGTGACAGAAACCCTACCAGGTAAGTCTGATTTAGTGACAGAAACCCTACCAGGTAAGTCTGATCTAGTGACAGAAACCCTACCAGGTAAGTCTGATTTAGTGACAGAAACCCTACCAGGTAAGTCTGATTTAGTGACAGAAACCCTACCAGGTAAGTCTGATCTAGTGACAGAAACCCTACCAGGTAAGTCTGATCTAGTGACAGAAACCCTACCAGGTAAGTCTGATTTAGTGACAGAAACCCTACCAGGTAAGTCTGATCTAGTGACAGAAACCCTACCAGGTAAGTCTGATTTAGTGACAGAAACCCTACCAGATAAGTATAGAACAGGCTTAGTACATATTTTTACTTGCTACAGAGTCAGTAAAAATCCATTCCTTCCTTACTTACACTGGAAATGTAGGTTGGTTTTACCAGCAGTTTGTCTTCTTTTGATTTTCAATGATTACAAAAACAACATTTATAGCTTGGGCGGTTTCATGTGTTTCATTTGTATAACTGATTGTGGTTTGAGACAAAATGGAGGTTTTACCAAGGTATGTGTCAAATGTCTATAATATACCTGTTTATATAGATGTCAAAACACTTTATATAGATGTTAGAAGATGTTATATAGATGTCAAAACATTTCATATAGATGTCAGAAGATATTATAAGGCTTTATTTAGATGTCAAAAGACTTTATTTAGATGTCAAAATACATTATGTAGATGTCAAAAGACTTCATGTAGGTGTCAAAAGTCTATATAGATGTAAAAAGACATTATATAGATGTCAAAAGACTTCATATAGATGTCAAAAGACTTCATATAGATGTCAAAATACATTATGTAGATGTCAAAAGACTTCATGTAGGTGTCAAAAGTCTATATAGATGTAAAAAGACATTATATAGATGTCAAAAGACTTCATATAGATGTCAAAAGACTTCATATAGATGTCAAAAGACATTATGTAGATGTCAAAAGAATTTATATAGATGTCTACTAACAGTTCTGTAATTTTCATTTCTGTTAAAGCTATACATATTTGTGAATGTACTTTTCTTTATCTTTTTCAGCACAACCAAGTATTCACATGCCAGACCACCAGAGTGAGTACTCAATTACATGGATCCGATATATATTGCTAATGTTCATGTTTAATAATTCATATCCATTATTAAAATCATTTTTAGTGTTATTTAAATACTTTGATCAGTACACTTTAGGTAATGTAGAGCTTACTCGGGATATTGTTCTTTGTTGACTGTATGTTAAGGAGTGCTGCCTCGGCTAAATGATCAGCTAGTACATAGTACTTATAGAATGTGTGTTGTTATTTTGCCAGATTAGATTAGTCCTGTATTTTGTATCATTTATGTACACTTTATCATCTGATGAAGTGTTTGTGCATAAGCATGTTCCCTTGAGTAACCTTGAGATCCCTGACCTTGAGTTATCGCGAGATTTCTGACTTTGAATTACCATGAGATTATATTCTTGGGTTACCCTGAGATATCTGACCTTGAGCTACCTCAGGATATTTGACCTTGAGCTACCTCAGGATCTTTGATATTTGATCCTGTTGAGTTACCACAAGATTACCTTGAGGATCCCTGACCTTGACCTTGGGTTACCTCAGGATCCCTGACCTTGAGCTACCTCAGAATATTTGACCTTGAGTTACCTCAGGATCCCCGACCTTGAGCTACCTCAGGATCCCCGACCTTGAGTTACCTCAGGATCCCCGACCTTGAGTTACCTCAGGATCCCCGACCTTGAGCTACCTCAGGATCTTTGACCTTGAGTTACCTTGGGATCTTTGACCTTGAGCTACCTCTGGTTCTCTGACACCAAGTTACCACAGGTTCAGTGAATCCTTACCCCTCACTAAGCTTTATTGATTTGATACTGACCATAAGCAATGTTATAATTTATGACTGTAGATTGAGGCTAAATTTGATCGAACTTAATAACTATGCATTCTCTGAACTCTAACCCCAGACTTGGAAGTTTTCAGCAGATTAAAAAGAACTTGACTGGAAGCATGCACATGCAGTTTCTTGGCCTTTAACCATATACTAAGAGATACTTAAGTACTGATCGGAAGCATGCAGTTTTCTGATTTCTGACACAAGACTTACATTTGATTGCTTCAGCTACTAATTACTAGCATTGCTGACTGAAAATGTACAAATCCCTGACTTATGACCTCTCACCTCTCACCTCTCACCTCTCACCTCAGATGAAGGGATTGTTGTCTGATTTAGTACTGACCAGATACATGTAGTATCATGAACTTTGACCCTGATCTGTAGGTACTAGTAGCCAGTAGGCTGTTTAAATACCAGCAATGGATGCATGCTGCTTTCTGATTTTTCGCCTCAGTCTGACTAAAAGTATATGGTAAACTAGTTGTAACTAGAAGCATATAAATCCCTAACATCTGATCCCAAATGAAGTGATAATTTGCCAATTTAATATGAGCTGGAAGCATGCACTGTGGCTTCACATCTTCATCAAGACGTAAAGGTATTTGACTGACTAGTACTGACCCCAGCATGTGCTTGTAGCCCCATCTAGAGAAATGATAGAGGAAGCCCCCCACGAGGAGGAAGAGGAGGAGGATATTGATGAGATTATTGAGGAGGAGATGATTGATTCAGATGATGAGAGTGACACAGCCAGTGGTGTCAAACCTCCTCAAAGCCTATTGGCTGATGTTAATGGAAAGGTCAAAGGTAACATATTTCATCCACAACCTCCAGCTTGACCTTTGACTTCTTACATACTCAGTTTTGATTGGTGTGCTGTAGGTAGTTAGTAGATATAGATTTATCATTACTATCACTTGGCTTTGTAAAACATGATATTATAAACATTATAATGACTTGTTCACTTTTTTTATCTTTCTTCCTTTCTACATAATATGTATGCATGAAATGTTTTGATTGCACTGTCCACTAAATTTCAGCATGATAAATTCTTGTGGTTATTCTAAATTCTGTGAAAACGCTTTTCTGTCTTCTACATTGTTTATGATTTAAATAATCATTTTCTTTTTCTACACAATTTACATCAATTGAATTGTTTAATGAGGCAAAGTAGCAGCTGATTGATTTTGTTTATCTTTACAAACAACATTTCCTATGAACCTACTGTTGTGTATTGTGTGACTAACCAGTACTACACTCAAAGGAACTTCCATTTCACCACTGTGTGCTGTGTGGCTTTTCTTATCACCTTCATATTGGATACGTGTCACATTGAACAACTTTTTTTCTTTGCAGGACAAAACATGTTTCAGCTGTTTGTTTTTAGGTCACCTGAGACAAAGTGTCTTGGTGATCTATTGCGATCGCTTTTTGTCCGGCGTTTTTGCACATCTGTAAAATTTTAACAATTTCAGTTTTTTAAAAACTTTTGAAGTTTTGCAGTAACCTTCCTTGGTTCCAAAATTATATGGTCCCCACCCTCCAGGGGCCTGAGGGGCAGGGCCAAAAGTGGTCAAATTGATAAAAAAAATTAAATCTTCTCCTCAACATTCATATATGGTTGAAGTGAATGCTCTTCATGGATGGAAGGATCTTAGTTGCTTTACCAAAATTGTTAATTTCATGGTTTAAAGATCTCACATTTTCCCCATGGAGTAAGGGTAATGTTTACTATATAAAGGAAAGGTACATTTTTAGGAAACTTTGCTTACGCCCAGGGGTTGATGGGCGGAGTCAGAAGGGGTCAAATTGACTAAAATTTCAAAAATCTATTTATGAACTCCCAGATATGGAAAAGTAATGTGTGGTTGGAATGGTCTTAGATGCTCTAGGAAAATGACATTTTTGAGCATACTTTGTTTAATTTCCATTTGAAATATTTCAATCTCGGTTAGAATTATGAGCAAAGGATAACAGCTTGATGGTATATATGCTCTTATTGATCCTGGCTGACCCCCAGGGGTTGATTTGCAGGGTCAAAAAAGGTCAAATTAAATCAGATCTCAGAAGTCTTCTCCTTAACTCTTCAATATGGAAAAATCACATACTCTACATACTAGGTGGAAAGGTGTTAAGGTGCTATACCGATATATCGAATTTCATAACCCCAGGGTCTCACATTTCCTCCGGGAGAAACCATATCACTCAAATCTTAGTATTATCTATATCACAATTTCTTTTTCATGACATTTTAAAGCTTCCTACCCATTAACCTTTATATTCAATGTTGCTTATCTCAGGTGATCTTCAGGCAGATTTTTTCCTTTCCAGCTGTAATAACTATGTTGTAGGAATGGTTGATATTTTTTGTAGTACTAGTTTTAAGGAGGTTTGCATGTGAATACCAGACTTTTGATATCATTGTCAGTCAGATGTTTGTGTGTGTTTGTGTGGGATACCAGACTTTCTATATCAGTGTCATTCAGATGTGTGTGTGTGTTTGTGTGGGATACCAGACTTTCTATATCAGTGTCCGTCAGATGTGTGTGTGTTTGTGTGGGATACCAGACATTCTATATCAGTGTCAGTCAGACGTGTGTGTGTTTGTCGACACCAGACTTTCGATATCAGTGTCAGTCAGATATATGTGTGTTTGTGGACACCAGACTTTCTATATCAGTGTCTGTCAGATGTGTGTGTGGATAGCAGACTTTTGATATCAGTCAGATATATCTGTGTGTGGGGACCAATGTATGTCAGATATATATGTGTTGATACCAGTTTCTGTCAGATATCTGTGTGTTGATGTTAGTGTCTGTGAGATATCTATGTGTTGATGTTAGTGTCTTTGAGATATCTCTGTGTTGATGTTAGTGTCTGTGAGATATCTCTGTGTTGATGTTAGTGTCTGTGAGATATCTATGTGTTGATGTTAGTGTCTGTGAGATATCTCTGTGTTGATGTTAGTGTCTGTGAGATATCTCTGTGTTGATGTTAGTGTCTGTGAGATATCTATGTGTTGATGTTAGTGTCTGTGAGATATCTGTGTGTTGATGTTAGTGTCTGTGAGGTATCTGTGTGTTGATGTTAGTGCCTGTGAGATATCTGTGTGTAGGTATCAAGCTCAGATATCTTTGTTCTGATGTCAGTGTGTATCAGAGCTCTTTGTATGTATATCAGTGGTGATCAAATATTGGTGCATGGCCACCAATGCCTAGGTGAGAATGTGAAATTGGCAATGTGTCACATGATTTTGTTAACTTCATGTTCTAGGAAGCCAGAAGGGTAAAAAGCCAATCCCTAAGGCTAGGAAAACAATTTTCAAGGGTAATAGTATGTCACTCTGTTTTTTTCTTAGCATGATGATTAATACCAACTGTATGTCTGTATATAAATGATCCCTTGTACCCATTGTCATGGTAACAAGTCCCACCTTTTGTTGTCTGATGGTAACCAGGCACACCGAGGTATGGTAGCTGTTATCCCTGTTGTTATGGTAACCAAGTCATAATAAACATTATTTTGCATGCATTGTAATGAATAATTAAAAGGATGCTTCGTTACATATGATTCAGTTCGTTTTTTTTCTCTCAGCTTTGATCGAGGCAATGTGTCCAAATGTTTCATGCATTGTGTATGTCTGCACTCAGTTATGGTGTATATATTGTAACCCAAGTCTGCTGAATGAATGCTGAATGAACAAACCTTAAGCTGTTTGTTTGCTATCTTTATATCACCCAAGCTTGTAGGTGATGGTGGACAAATATACCTCAGATATTATGTCCCCTAACTTTTAACGTGTCTCATCGTAGCTTATAGGTGATGGTGATCTATACCAGATATCTCAGGCTGTGCGTCTGGTGTCTCTGTATTACCCATGTCTGTAGGTGATGGTGGACTTATCTCAAGCTCTGTGAATTTGTATTTACCTATGTCTAGCTTTCAGTGTACAGTGTTTTAGCATGCTATTTATTTGGATGTAAGCCTGTCTACCAAACAAGAATACTAGCTACATCAACCTAGTGATAATGTATATTTCACATTCCTAGAATCAGGATAATTATACCTGTTTTCACCCAGTAAGGACCAACTCCAGACACTCAGTCTGTAACAAATTCTGATAGTTTTTATCATGTACAGAATGTATTGCTATATTGACTATGGAAAATAAAGATTTGAAAAATATGATGCAACACTCTCTCTAACCAAGATAATTTTCATTCTTCAATAGAGCGATGTTCATGAGGTATTCAAATAATAAGAGAATGAAACACTATGTAATGTTACCATCCACTCTTTACCTTAAGTGTTTCATTTAACTCAGTGTTAAACGGCTATGTTACAATAGTATCATACCTGCAGTGATAGGCGTGTAAAAATCTATTTTACTTCTGAATACGTAGATATACAAGTATTTAGTATTTAATGTAATGTGTTCATCATCATAACTAATTTCAGTATTCATAATTGACCTTAAGTTCATTTTCCTATCTAACATTATTCTGCTGTAGAATATCATTTAATCATTGAGATGCTTTATTTTTAACTATATGTGATAGCTTGTAGATTGTCTAGAACTGTTTGACTATAATGGTATGGTTTGTGAGGTGCAGTGTTTATCTCACTGTTCCTGGAATTTTTGTTCTACCACGAGGTTGCTATATATCACAACTCTTACACCAATTCCCAAGATGGAGGATTATTTGATAGACAATTAAATATTTTGACTTTGGTCTAGAGAGTCTTTTTTTTCATCTCTGCACCAGTACCATTAATTCACGAAAATTGAATAAATTAAAAAGTACATGTTTCTGTTTTTCTTTGTTTTTAGATACAAAAGAAGAGATTCAGAGTCCAAAGGTAGATCTTTAATATGTGTTTAACTTTCCTGATAGTTTTCTGTAATTTTCCTGTTTGACTTTATTTTTCTGTGCAGGTTTATAACTTACAATATATTTGCTCAAGTTCAGTAATTCTGCTTTGATTTCCTTGATCTTGATAATTGAACTACTTGTTAGAAAATATAGTATCAAGGACTATGGGGACATCATTCATTCTAATCACACAGCAATGATTCAAGACTAAAATTACTTTTTCTTATTCAATTTTTCAGGAACAATCCAAAATGTCCGACACTATGTTTGAAGAGGAGCGTACAGGTGAGTATGTAAAGAACATTGCTTGAAAGTCTAGTGTGATGTAAAAAGAAAACGAAAAACTAAAAGAAACACACTCAGTACTTATTTGGCAGATATTCTAGTCCAAAGAAAGACTTTTTTGAGAACTAATCCATCTCTTCATTCAAGCCCAAGAAACTAATATTTTACCTCAGACTCAAAGTCAGGGGTGGGCTTATTAAAGAACAAAGAAATAGCATTTTGTTAGTAACACTTCTGAAGAGTTCTAGATGAGGACTGACTTATAGCTAAGCAGAGCATTATTTTGGAATAAATATTTGCAGAAAATCAGTTCCAGGAACCGGAGTTTAATTTATGTTAAGTTATGATATAATTCTGGTAGGTAACACGTACTAATTTATCAGGACTTATTTAATCACATCTAAAGAGGCGTATTGTTATGCTTCCCAAAAATGTTTCAGGGAACACATAGTTACCGCTTTGTCCGTCCATCTGTCCATCCTTTTGTGTCTGAAGCGTAACCTCGCTTGCAATATAATAAGGATAATGAAACTTGGTGTGTATGTTGGTCACATTAAGAGAAGGTGCTGTTTACCAAACTTAGGGCAGTTTGTTACAGAATTGTTACCCTTTGTTAAAATTTTGTGTCCAATAAAGTCTTTTTCGGGGAGCATTCATCGGTTTCGTTGATACTCTTGTTACTAATAATGGGAACTGTGTTACAGATGAGATTTCTGAGGAGATAACTGAGGGTAGCCCTTCAGGCACCCTGCAGTTCACCACCGAACCTCCACCCATGACAGAGGAAAGCAGTCATGAGTCTGATACTCCACAGGGAGTCATGGAGTCTGACAGCGAAGGAGTTATCATGGCACCGAAACCTACAAAACGCAGCCAGAAAAAAGCTGCAGCAAAGAAGGTAGGTCAACCATACACTGCCAGAAAATGACTACTGAAAAGAAAGGAAGATGGGAAAATCTAACTGTTTTCTTCACATGATCAATTTACAGCAAAGTTTTATAATTGTTGAATTTGTTCTATGTTATTGCCATGGAAACGTTAACAGAATAAAAGTTGAGAATAATACATTATAATGAATAAGTATTTACCAGTACTTCTTTATGACCTTCAGAAGTATATGTCATTTTAATATCTACAGGGTAATGTTGTAACGATCACCGTCTCACATCTGTCGTTAGAAGAAGGTGCTGATGTTCTACATAGAGATAACATTCGTCAGCTTTTTGTTGCCTATAACTTCCTGGGCATTGAGCCCCAAGAATTGGAGACACCTTTCTCCCTCCCAAAACCCAAGCCTGGACAACAGATTGCGTTTAACTTCAGCAAGAGTGAGTATTTCTCTATTTAGACTCATGTAAGGGCATTCTTCAGTTTCAGCAGGGTGGGTATCATCTGATGCTTTGATATTTTCTTTAGGAAAAGGACCTCATTAAACTTTGTCTTTATTCCTGACATATCTTTCTGTATTTAATACTGTATAAAAGTTACTGGCAGAATTGATTATATTTCCACTTTTGCCTGGCATATACTTGACTGTGTTTTATTTACGAGAACTAAAACACACTAACAAAACTTGAAACACACCCAGTTTCTGCTGAGCCAATCAGGAGAGAGGTAGACATAGCTTGTTACTGAAACTCTCTTTCCATTTCAGTATTTTGGTTACACTTTACATTTGACTGTTTTAAATCCAAGAGAATGTTGGGGCATTTAGCTGGGGTTTTTTTGTCTTTATTTTTTAATTTTTTAAAAAAATTTTCCTGTTTGTATTGGTATAATTTGATAATTAGGTTGATGGATAGCAATTTTCTGGTTTCCCATGACCCTACTACTTTCTCTTGATTTTGCTGTGAAACAGACCTGGTCTATGGAAGGAGATTAGAAACTTGCCACATCTCTCAGGTTCATACTTGAACTGTGTAAGAAATGAAGCTCTACGGGCAGTGTGTCTTCTTCATGTGAAAGAAAACAAAAACCTGTTGATATTAAGTTAGAAGCATGCTTAGAGTTAAGATAAAATACCTGCCAACTCAAGATGTTCTACTCAAAGTCTGCTATGACTTTTTAACATAGTTCTTTGTTTGAAATGAAACATTTGAAACAATCATAATAGATGTATTTCATTATTTCTTAGCTTTCCAAGTGGATATAGAGAAGAACTACACACGAAGACAATTTCTGGCCAGCATGCTACTACCTGATGATCCTGAGCAAGGCCGGTAAGTACTGACACATTTCTGTCTGATGGTCCTGAACAAGGCCAGTAAGTACTGACACATCTCTGTCTGATGGTCCTGAACAAGGCCGATAAGTACTGACACATCTCTGTCTGATGATCCTGAGCAAGGCCGGTAAGTACTGACACATCTCTGTCTGATGGTCCTGAACAAGGGCAGTAAGTACTGACACATCTCTGTCTGATGGTCCTGAACAAGGCCGGTAAGTACTGACACCTCTCTGTCTGATGGTCCTGAGCAAGGCCGGTAAGTACTGACACATTTCTGTCTGATGGTCCTGAACAAGGGCAGTAAGTACTGACACATCTCTGTCTGATGATCCTGTACAAGGCCAGTAAGTACTGACACATCTCTGTCTGATGATCCTGTACAAGGCCAGTAAGTACTGACACATCTCTGTCTGATGATCCTGTACAAGGCCAGTAAGTACTGACACCTCTCTGTCTGATGATCCTGTACAAGGCCAGTAAGTACTGACACCTCTCTGTCTGATGATCCTGTACAAGGCCAGTAAGTACTGACACATTTCTGTCTGATGATCCTGTACAAGGCCAGTAAGTACTGACACATCTCTGTCTGATTATCCTGTACAAGGCCAGTAAGTACTGACACATCTCTCTCTGATGATTCTGGGTAGGTCTGATATGTACTTGTATTACACTATGTGTAACAAAACTCTTTTTAAAGCACACAACTGAAACATTATGACTTTAGATTCATGCCAGAATGTTTTACCAGAAAATTATGAATTGTTAGGAGTTACTTGATGTAATTTATGTCTAAAGAATGATGAAGACCTTTGGACTAGATATGTTACCTGGTAAACCTAGGAATGTAGTAGTCAGTATGTCATGTACAGATCAAATGCCTGTAGTTGATGTACCAGGGACACAGCCATGACTTTGTTTTTATTTTACTCATTCATCCAGTGTATTGTCAACTTCATAGGTTTTATCCTCACTGAAAAACATATCCAAGTAAAACTATAGGTGGCTGCATGTGGAAAGTCATCTAACATTCTTATGTACTAAAAAGAACAGTAACATCACATTGGAGTGTATTTTATTAATTAAGATGATTAATGTTGACAGGATCCGGTTCACCATTGTGAGCGAGCCTCCAGACGAGGACATGGAGGGAGATTGTGAGGATGTGGGTATTGCCTGGGTCAGCATTAAGAAAATCCTCATGAACCAGAGGAACATTACAGAGGAGGATGTGGAAGGTGAGGCCATTTTAAGGAAATTTTTTTGTGATTCTCTGAGGCCAAATTTAGACTGATGTCTGCAAATCTACTGAGTAAAATTACTTTTAATACATCTAACAGATTCCTACCATTAAGGGATATAAGCTCAGTTGAACTAGAAAATTATAAACTTTTGTTAGACCAGGCTAGAGCACTAAAACAACACAAGGTAAACTAGTGACTCATTCCTAGGTTGGATATGTCTCTTTTTGCTCATAGTGAAAGTTAATTTTTAGCTCTTATTTAGGATCACCATAAACAGTTTTCAAATCTTTGAGCACCTTTCTACGTACTTAACAGCATTGTAATTTTGATAAAAATTATTTCCATTCATGTTCAGCATAGCTGTAGACATGGCATGTATCCAGATGCGTGTGTGTGTTTTCATATATCTAAGTCTTAATCCAAGTCTATATTTATATCCTATGTGTACAAACATAGTTTATCTGTGCAAAAGCAAATATTTACCATACAAACATTGTGATGGATGGAACCCTTGTTGAGAACCTCACAACCATCATAGCTTGATGAAATCTAAGTTAGTCTTACACACCTGGCATTTGTGATACAAAATCACTTTGATCATTAGGAATTGATATACATATGTCACAGGACGATAGATTTAACCTTTCTGAAATGCCAAGATAAATCAACTTTGATTTGAAAATTTGTGTCTAACTTTCATTCTTTTCTCCTTCTTCTTTCAGTGTTGGATGTTAAGGATCAGAGGACTGTGATAGGGTGTCTTAACCTGTCTGTCGATTGCCTTTCTGCCCTCCAGGCTGTTGAGAATGAAATGCAAGTGGATGGCACATACTAAATAGCAGAGTACTAGATCTGATATAACAGGAAAAACTACAAACTGGACACACAATAGGAGATCTGATATAATTTGTAAAAAACAAACTGTATTTTATATAGTAATGAATATTACTATATAATGTAATTTATTATCATGGTTGTGTGTTAGTGTTCTTCTACATCTACCCACTTATAGCGACATCACACAATGTTATGTTACCAGGGATCTAACTTTTATTGACATTTTGTGACATCACATAATGTTATGTTACCAGAGATCTAACTTTACATTATGTGACATCACACAATGTTGTGTTACCAGAGATCTAACTTTTATTGACATCACACAATGTTGTGTTACCAGAGATCTAACTTTTATTGACATTATGTGACATCACACAATGTTGTGTTACCAGAGATCTAACTTTTATTGACATTTTTGACATCATACAATGTTATGTTACCAGAGATCTAACTTTTATTGACATTATGTGACATCACACAATGTTGTGTTACCAGAGATCTAACTTTTATTGACATTTTGTGACATCACACAATGTTGTGTTACCAGAGATCTAACTTTTATTGACATCACACAATGTTATGTTACCAGAGATCTAACTTTTTTGACATTTTGTGACATCACACAATGTTGTGTTACCAGAGATCTAACTTTTATTGACATCACACAATGTTATGTTACCAGAGATCTAACTTTTATTGACATCACATAATGTTACGTTACCAGAGATCTAACTTTTATTGACATCACACAATGTTATGTTACCAGAGATCTAACTTTTATTGACATTTTGTGACATCACACAATGTTGTGTTACCAGAGATCTAACTTTTATTGACATCACACAATGTTATGTTACCAGAGATCTAACTTTTATTGACATCACATAATGTTACGTTACCAGAGATCTAACTTTTATTGACATTTTGTGACATCACATAATGTTATGTTACCAGAGATCTAACTTTTATTGACATTTTGTGACATCACATAACGTTATGTTACCAGAGATCTAACTTTACATTATGTGACATCACACAATGTTGTGTTACCAGAGATCTTACTTTTATTGACATCACACAATGTTGTGTTACCAGAGATCTAACTTTACATTATGTGACATCACACAATGTTGTGTTACCAGAGATCTAACTTTTATTGACATTTTGTGACATCACACAATGTTGTGTTACCAGAGATCTAACTTTTATTGACATTATGTGACATCACACAATGTTGTGTTACCAGAGATCTAACTTTTATTGACATTTTGTGACATCACACAATGTTGTGTTACCAGAGATCTAACTTTTATTGACATCACACAATGTTGTGTTACCAGAGATCTAACTTTTATTGACATCACACAATGTTATGTTACCAGAGATCTAACTTTTATTGACATTTTGTGACATCACACAATGTTGTGTTACCAGAGATCTAACTTTTATTGACATCACACAATGTTATGTTACCAGAGATCTAACTTTTATTGACATCACACAATGTTGTGTTACCAGAGATCTAACTTTTATTGACATCACACAATGTTATGTTACCAGAGATCTAACTTTTATTGACATTTTGTGACATCACACAATGTTGTGTTACCAGAGATCTAACTTTTATTGACATCACACAATGTTATGTTACCAGAGATCTAACTTTTATTGACATCACATAATGTTACGTTACCAGAGATCTAACTTTTATTGACATTATGTGACATCACACAATGTTGTGTTACCAGAGATCTAACTTTTATTGACATTTTGTGACATCACACAATGTTATGTTACCAGAGATCTAACTTTTATTGACATCACATAATGTTATGTTACCAGAGATCTAACTTTTATTGACATTATGTGACATCACATAATGTTATGTTACCAGGGATCTAACTTTACATTTTGTGACATCACATAATGTTATGTTACCAGAGATCTAACTTTACATTTAGTGACATCACATAATGTTATGTTACCAGAGATCTAACTTTACATTTAGTGACATCACAGAATGTCACTTTACCAGAAATCTGCCTTTAATTGACATTCCCAGTAACATTACAGAATGTTGCTATGATATATATATTAAGGACTACTCTAGGAAGATAACTCTTTAACAATATTCTGCTTAGACGTAATAGGCAGACAACTACAGATAATATTGATTTGTTTTGAAGATAGAAGTTATACTAGGTTAGCCATTTCCAAGGGATCTGTGATAATTGAGTGAATTTGTATGGATGTGATGTGTGATTTGTGTAAAACTTCAATGTTGTGGTAGCTAACTACTTATAGGTGAATATTTATTGATTTAAATTTGTAGACAAGAATTCAACTCCGTCCTTTTACATTTTATGAGCATTCTTCTTAGCGTCCTGATTCTACCGTAGAGTGATCTCCCTTCTTCAACATTTTGGATGTAAACTGTAATCCTACACCCGCAGTGAATTTGTAAATATGGTGTCCAAAGTTATATATACATCTTATCCAACATGTACAGATCATGTCATCTTTTTATAACTGAAATTAGAATAATTTATGAAATAAAGACATATGATGAGTTATAGATAATTTTACTCATTTACATTTGGTTTTAAAGTCATACTCACTTTAGCAATTTATCATAGACTGAATGTATTTATCTTGTTAAATATGCCTTATTCTGTAGAACATGTCGGGTCCATTGTAATATGGACTAACAGGTTTGTTTTTGTTTGATACCTTTTACAAGTGATTTAGGTATACAACTAAATAAAACCATTAATTCAGAATTTTCTGGTGTTGGTAGTTAATTGATTGATGAGAGACTTGGCCATGATTTTATAGTGATGATTGACTTGGCTGTGGTTTGATACTGATAAGTGACTTATCTATAATTTTACACTTTACTTTATACCAACAAGACATTGCTTTAAGTTCAAAATGAATTAGGATAAGAGACATTGCCAGGTTTTTGTACTGAAAGGAGTCTTCGAGTGGCAACGGATTTAGCTATGGTTTTTAAACTAAAGAGACTTTTAAGTGATGAAGGTCTTTCTCATGATTTTATGCTAGAGAGTTACTTCATAGTGTGAAAGACATCTTACTGTGGGGATGGAAAGATTTAGCTATGGTACTATACTGGAGAGGGACTACATAGCTATGAGGAGTTTAGCCATTGTTTTCAACTGGAAAGAATCTTTATAGTTAGGGTATTATCTTTGCTTTATACTGGAGAGACTTCATAGTGCTAGAGACTTTACTGTGGTGATTGCTGGGAATAGCCATGGTAATATACTGGAAAGGGACTACATTGTGTTGAGGAACTAAATGGCTTATTTTTATACTGGAGAGACACTTTATAGTGGTGAGGGGTTTATTGCTGAGGGGAATAGCCATGGTAATATACTGTAGTGGTGAGGGAAAGGGACTACATTGTGTTGAGATACTGTAGTGGTGAGGGATTTAATGGCTATATTTTTATACTGGAGGGGTTTAGCCACTATATTATAGTGGTGAGGGGTTTAGCCATGGTTCTATATTGGTGGGATACTGTAGTGGTGAGGGATTTAGCCATGGTTCTATATTGGTGGGATACTATAGTGGTGAGGGGTTTAGCCATGGTTCTATATTGGTGGGATACTGTAGTGGTGAGGGATTTAGCCATGGTTCTATATTGGTGGGATACTATAGTGGTGAGGGGTTTAGCCATGGTTCTATATTGGTGGGATACTATAGTGGTGAGGGGTTTAGCCATGGTTCTATATTGGTGGGATACTATAGTGGTGAGGGGTTTAGCCATGGTTCTATATTGGTGGGATACTATAGTGGTGTGGGGTTTAGAAAATGGGACATAATGGTACTACTGCAGCATTGTGTTTGATGTTCCTAAAGAAACAAACAACAGATAGAGATTGTGTTATAATATATTTTATTGCACACATTATGAAAACATTAAAACTGGAAAAGAAAAATTTCATCTCTTCTTGTAGGATTAATGACTCTGCAAAGACCCTAAAATGCTGATTACAATAAATGGTAGCAAGATGACCCAAAATACCCTAAAATGCTGATTATAATGAACAGTAGTAATATGACTGAAAAGACCCCATAATGCTGTTTACAATATTTAGACATTTATGTAACAAGTACATGTATTATAACTATACACTGTTGTACTCTTGCACTGCCTGCAAGCCAGGTATTTCTAAATCTAAATACACAGAGACGGAATGTTTTGTTGATGTATAATGTGACAGAAATAGAACCAAACAATATCACAAATTTTACCGACATCAAGATGGCAGCAGCCTTTAACCGACACGATATTCCTTACATATGAATCTTTCTTTTTGAAAACATTCAGATTCGTTTGAGAGACTTCTAAAATCAGAACACATATATGCCGCCATATTTATCCTTCAATAAGTCTTGAGAAATAACTTCTACCTTTACGTCACAGGTATGATTAGATTGCTGAGTAAATATGGTATATATTATGTGATTTTTTTACTAGCCCAGCTCTGTGTGATGGAGAGCAGCAATAAGTTTGACCATTTGAGTGCTCATTATACTTAACATTCCAAACTGCCAAAATTGACTTGAACATATATGTAGGTTAATGAATTAAACTTCAACAGCACATAAATGTATTATTAATAAATTTGGTCCCCAATAACCAGGAATTCAGGAAATTTCATACTGAAAACCAGTAGTGACTGAGAGGCTCATATTACGTACTTCTTGAAAAACCATGAAAATTGAGCCCCACCACAATATCTGATTTTACAGTGCAACAATTCAGTTTGCTGATAAATTTTGTCACACAAAAACTGAATTTTTCAAAGCTAAAGTTCATATTTCTTCTAATATATCTAATATAAACTTCAATGAGATCAAATATATGGTAAAGATACTCTTCTACCCAAAAAGACTAAACTTGGTCAAAATCCACTCATGTAGTCATTCATGAGTAGAAGTGATTTGTATAAAAAAAAAACCTGAAAGGCACTGCGCCATGCAAATGGTGAGCTAAGAAATTATGACACATTTGGATAAAACTTTTCTCATATTTCTCGATGTTAAATTGATAAATTCAATGGGTGAGAATTATACATGAATGAAAAAAATTGTGCAAATTGTTCAGTTAAGTACCATCAGTAGGAGATGTGGTTAAGTTCTGACTACAGATCGTATTCATCAAAATCCATGAAGTTAATACAGTAACAGTAATTGTTAATGGTATGAGGAGTAAGAAGGTGCTAAAAAACATACATTTGAAGGTCTGAAATGAATTTACATATCAAGTACATGTGACTAAATTACAGGCATTAGAGTTGTGGTGCCTCAATAACGTGTCTCAGAAGAGAGGAGAGTATGTGAACCATTAGCAAATACTTGAATGGTGGAAATCCATCTCAGTTTTGGTATACTACCTAAAAAAAGTATGTGTTGAATTTGAAATTTGAAAGCATTACCACCTGCACAAAATACCAAAAAGTTATCACAACCTATATAAATCCCTGATGCTTCCACCGCGACTTAAGTGCAATAACAACGAATTCAATTTTAATCTAATACCCTGAAATTTGATCAAAATCTAACCCCATCCCCACCCCCTCCCAATTTTATGGCAGGGGCATAAAAATTCAATATCAAAAGTAATCCAACCAGAACTACACTGCTGTGAAGTAAATAAAATCTTTCCATTTCAGCTGTTTACTCACTTCACCAACAACATCAATATATGCTCATTACAAACAGAACGTAAACTACTTTACATGTTACGTTAATAAAAAGCATTATAAAACAAACAAAATAAACACCAGAATCAACAGCATTATCCCTGACATCTTTCTGGAAGACTTAGTATAGGACTAGCAATTAACAGCAATGTTTAGAGCATATCATGCTTATCAATGTATCACTGGGTCAGTGGAGATAGACTTGTTATCTCCACTGACCCAGAGATACGCTTGTTATCTCACCTGATCCAGAGATAGACTTGTTATCTCCCCTGATCCAGAGAGAGACTTGTTATCTCCCTTGATCCAGAGACAGGCTTGTTATCTCCCCTGACCCAGAGATAGACTTGTCATCTCCAATGACCCAGGGATAGACTTATAATCTCCCCTGACCATGAGAAAGGCTTGTTATCTCCCCTGACCAAGAGATAGGCTTGTTATCTCCCCTGACCATGAGATAGGCTTGTTATCTCCCCTGACCAAGAGATAGAATTGTTATCTCCAATGACCAAGAGATAGGCTTGTTATCTCCCCTGACCAAGAGATAGAATTGTTATCTCCCCTGACCAAGAGTTAGGCTTGTTATCTCCAATGACCTAGGGATAGACTTGTTATCTCCCCTGACAAAGAGATAGAATTGTTATCTCCCCTGACCAAGAGATAGGCTTGTTATCTCCAATGACCCATGAATAGACTTGCTCCTAGTTTATATTGACAATGTTATTTTTATTTAAAATGTTCATCATCTTTGGCATCATTGATTTAAGAATTCAATTTACATAGTAAAGAATATATTGTCAACTTCATATCATAGAGACAAGGAGTCCTTAGCTACAGACTTCAAAGTGGCACCTGTGATATACAACAATCAAGAGCGTACGGTATGTCACAAAAAATTCAAAGTAGAACAGTGGGTCATACCCTTAACACAGTACACACTCATATTGTTGATCTTACTGTAACACTGGACCTGTTGTACACACCTATACCTGTTGTACACACCCATAACAACATCCTTACTGTAACACTGAACCTGTTGTACACACCCATAACAACATCCTTACTGTAACACTGAACCTGTTGTACACACCCATAACAACATCCTTACTGTAACACTGAACCTATTGTACACACCCATAACAACATCCTTATTGTAACACTGAACCTGTTGTACACACCCATAACAACATCCTTACTGTAACACTGAGCCTATTGTACACACCCATAACAGTAATCATACCAAAAAATTGAACCTTTGCTGCACAGCCATCAAAGAACAGGTGAAAATGCATTTCTGCAAACTACCTCAACAAGAATTTAAAACCCCAATATTATTAATTAAGCATGAAATTTAATATCACAACATCAAGCATAAAGGTGTAAAATAGATTTGAATCTCAAGGAGGGTTCAAGGGATATTTCCTACACAAATACTAGTAGCTAGGCTACCTCCAGACACACACACACAATAGGATTACTAATATAACACCTTAAGTATTGACAATGGGATATGATAACAAGACATCACTGAACAATATTAATGCCTTCGATTGGTTAATTGTCCAGGGATTATTTAAGTTTTTAAATCCATTGGAATTTATGGGAGTTATTGTGCCAAAGAGAATGTTCTCATTGACCTTGACATAAAAAAAATTACTTCAGAAGCAATCCAAAACTAACTACAGTGCTGATATGTTCAAAATGCCCCTCAATGCATCCAACTTTAAACTCAATTCTAATTGAAAGGTTGTGAGATGGAATGACCTCTACAGTGTGATCATCTTTTACATCCTTCTGTGGTACAGTGACTCTTCATTCAGAAATAAAATGTTGACATTTACACTCGAGTGATCATGTACTTTTTGATCCTTCAAGTTCCTAATGTTATAAAGTATATTCCAGTAAATGTTTCTCACATTTGACCTTGACCTTCAACTCAGTGACCTTGACTTTTGGTGAACTTCTTAGTGATAATCTTTGCTTCATAATGTTATTAGAAATCCTAACCAGTTGAGAGATATAAAATGTTACCTTGACTTTAACCCCTTTAATTAAATACTTTCTTGTAATAACAAATACAAATATTTACCAGTAAAATAATGAAACAACATACCTTGACCTCTGACCTGGATTAAAGTGACTTCACAGATTCTGGTCAACTTCGCTTCATACTTTCAAAATAATGTTTCCCAGTAAAATATTTCAAATCTCACCTTTACCTTTTGACCTTGTGACTATGGTCTGTGGCATGCTATTTGTAGTGAAGCAACAGGCTGAGTTTGCTTCATAATATCATTAAAGAAGAATATTTCCCAGCAACATACTCATACATATTGTATATATGACTGTTGGTTCTACATCATATTTTCAGTAAATGACCTTAAAATTGGGCCTTTTGACCCCAAGTGCAATCTCAAGCAAGCACTCCTGATAATAAGCAGATGTGAAGTTTGAGATCAATCTGTCAAAAGGAACTCAATGGGGATCACAACCCATTTTCCATTTATAGGAATAATGACCTTGATGTTTGACCTTTTCCCCCAAAAGCAATCCAGACTAAGCATTCCCATTAAGAAGCAGTGTGTGAGGTATGAGTTCAATCACTTTAAGGGAACTATAGTTATTGTCTAGCAATGGTTATGATGATGGGCATTAGCATTACAATATTGTCTTCCTATTTACAATCAGAAGGAAATTAATCAAAGATGCTAAGCACTTGTTCACAAATGTGGTAATCACTTTTATATGGGACAACCTTAGTTACTGTAATAATGTGATTCCAGAGAGGTCAGCCAATTCTGTAATACCTCAGCATCTAGTACTTATCAAAACCCATATCAAGCTTATAGACACATCACATATAAATAATTATGTATTTATCAATGCTGTGATAACTTCTGTAAAATATTACAAACCAAAATTAAATCTCAGGATTATATGATATGAGTACATACTTGATTGCTAATGTAACATGTATTGAAAACATTATACCAGTTTCTCATATTCTCTATTAAATAACATAATCACAATGGAAACATACTATCCTTAAATCTATCACCACTGGGCCAAGTCACATAAACACACATTTATCTGTAAATAATGAATCTCTACAATAGGAGATCTCCACAGCAATTGTAACATGTAACTTGAACAACTAACAACAGTCACTGTAAAACCTCAAAATGGAGAGATTAAAAACATTAAAACATAACATTCTTGTCTAAGTTATAACAGATTATAATGAAATTAAATCACAGACCTAAATTTAGTAAAAAACAAAAATATGACAGGAGTTTGGTTAATATTTTGGTATGTTTCACTAGTACACATTTACACCAATATCATGACAGGTACATGAATCTTGTCTAATTTTGAATTTGATCCCTTAGAAAATACTGCAATCTGCAGCAGCCAACACAATTAGATTTATTATTCAAACATCATATCACATCCAAATGAAAGAAAAAATTGTTCACACAAGTCAAAAACTTACTTGGAACAACATTTTGTCATCTGTTTCAACATTTCTTAAAATCAATTTTTTACCTTTATGAAAACAATTCTTGTATCAGAAAATTTTCTACAAAACTTTCCACAGTAAAGTAATAAAGATAAGTATGATTTAGTATCATAGTTAATATGCTAATTTTGATACAAAGATGATTCCCCAAGTTATTGAAAATATATCCCTATCTAAATCAGAACTGCTATCTATCCCTTACGGCATTGAATACTTCATTTTCTTCATCTGAATCTTGTCCTTCACTACGAATCATTTCCATCCTCTCCTCTCGGTTCATCAGATTTTTTTTAGCATCCTCTCCTGAAATAATAATTAAATGGTGTATGTATCACAAGCTCAGAAAGGAGGTAGTTATGGGTTTTTAAAAAAAAAAAAAAAGACTTTGACCTCATTTTAAAGAGGTAAAATGAATTAAAACCTTTGATCACTACTCAATAATTATCATTAATTTAATATCCAATGTGTAAAGAAAGCAAGACTAAGATATCTCCTCTCTTCTCACACTGAACCAGATCTACAGGGGGATATCATGTGTAGTAATATATATCTACTGTCACTGAACCAGATCTGCAGGCGAATATCATGTGTAGTAATATATATCTACTGTTACTGAACCAGATCTACAGGGGGATATCATGTGTAGTAATATATATCTACTGTCACTGAACCAGATCTGCAGGGGAATATCATGTGTAGTAATATATATCTACTGTCGCTGAACCAGATCTACAGGGGGATATCATGTGTAGTAATATATATCTACTGTCACTGAACCAGATCTACAGGGGGATATCATGTGTAGTAATATATATCTACTGTATATATGCAGGGGGATATCATGTGTAGTAATATATATCTACTGTCACTGAACCAGATCTACAGGGGGATATCATGTGTAGTAATATATATCTACTGTCACTGAACCAGATCTGCAGGGGGATATCATGTGTAGTAATATATATCTACTGTCACTGAACCAGATCTACAGGGGGATATCATGTGTAGTAATATATATCTACTGTCACTGAACCAGATCTGCAGGGGCATATCATGTGTAGTAATATATATCTACTGTCACTGAACCAGATCTACAGGGGGATATCATGTGTAGTAATATATATCTACTGTCACTGAACCAGATCTGCAGGGGAATATGTGTAGTAATATATATCTACTGTCACTGAACCAGATCTGCAGGCGAATATGTGTAGTAATATATATCTACTGTCACTGAACCAGATCTGCAGGGGAATATGTGTAGTAATATATATCTACTGTCACTGAACCAGATCTGCAGGCGAATATGTGTAGTAATATATATCTACTGTCACTGAACCAGATCTGCAGGGGAATATGTGTAGTAATATATATCTACTGTCACTGAACCAGATCTATAGGGGAATATCATGTGTAGTAATATATATCTACTGTCACTGAACCAGATCTACAGGGGGATATCATGTGTAGTAATATATATCTACTGTCACTGAACCAGATCTGCAGGCGAATATGTGTAGTAATATATATCTACTGTCACTGAACCAGATCTACAGGGGGATATCATGTGTAGTAATATATATCTACAGTCATTGAACCAGATCTTTAGGAAGACATTGTGAGATACCCACTCTCATTTAACCGGATCATTAGGGGGGTAGAAATGTGTGGTATTAGATACCTACTCTCACTAAACCGATCTTAAGGGGAGTATAATGTGTGGTATTAGATACCTACTCTCACTGAACCAGATCTTTTGAGGCATCTACTGCCTTTGAACCTGATCTTTATGGAATATGATAAGTGTCGTAGATATTATCCACTATCACTGAAGCTAATAACATGTAATGTATGGTTTTCAATATCTACTGTCACTGAACTAGACTGATATGGGAACATGTTGTGCAGAGTTAAATTTTCACTCTGTTATCACATGCTTATACTCACTGTGTAAAGCCTTTAAAATGACATGAAGCGTGATGCCCGATAGACATACTAGTAAGCCAATCATATTGATGGTATTCATTTGGTCGCCATTAAACTTGTTGGCCAAATACAAAGTGCATAACTCCTGTAGGAAACAAAGTGTAAATTACAAACAAAAATAAGTAAAAGTATAAAATATAAGTAAATGGTAAACAGGCCAACAGGGCCTGTATTTTATTTCTGTTGCAGGTATAGATTTATTTTTAGTTCATGGCAGAAAGTTTTTTTATGGATTTTATCATTTAGTAAAGTAATTTTCAATAAAACCAAGAACCTCCACAAATGAAATAAAATTTAATGTTAGGAATTATCATGAAATGTTATGGATAAATTAACTGTGTTGTGACACTCACCTTGAAAATACCTGAGATCGAGAAGGTCAAACACGACGTTTGACCTACAAATAGAAACTCTGAAAATTCCAGCATGAAAGCTAGACTTGCTCCAACAAACACCATAGCTAAGTTTTTAGATACTAATGCGTAGTCATAGAAACGGAAAAAGTTTGATGTTGTAGCAAGGGGAATGCCTGGAAAAAAACAACATATTGTTACAATCCACTACAAAACACAAGAACTACCCGGGAAGAATGATCTGTCACCAGGGTGATATCTTATTTGGTGCATACACCTAAATTATATTTTTTATGTACATGATGATATAAACTGTTGTATTGTCAGGACATGACATGAAAATGATGTCATTAACTCACAAAATGCATCATGAATGACATCACAATAAAGACTCTAGCTATCCAGCTAAGATGACTTAATCCAAGGAAAAGCATGGTTTTCTGCATTATTTGTGAAGATATTTGCTAAATAGATAAAGCATATCTGTAATTTGAATTCTATTTTTGGAGATTTAGTGAATTTATCACAAATAATTCAATTTAGCTTGCCAAAATTAAAGTTTATTGCATCAATCTCATATGATAACGAAACTTTTTTTTCAAATCGCATGATAACTGCTCAATGTAAAAGCCACTTATAAAAGCACATCTATGTTTGTTGAGAATCATTTCTTTTTTTTTTTTTAAAAAACTGGTTATCTTTATTGCTATGAACAACAGGATCCCCGAGGGATCACAGTGTCATCCGTTGTTTGATAATAATTTTTTTTCTTTGTTTTTACTATTAATCAATTATGTAAATTTTAAAAACTTTTTTTCAAGAATAAGATGATAACAATTTTTAACTTTCAAATCAGGATGTCACCTGTCAGCTATATTGATTTACTGAATACACTTTACCTTCAATTACAGCAGCAAGAGGTAAAAGAACGATGATCATCCATGGTTGTACATGGTACATCATGTCCAGGGGGTTTGATAATCCTGTGATAACAAGGTAAATTATGGTTAGTAGACGTACAGATAAACATGGTTAGTGAACATATATACAGATAAACATGGTTAGTGAACATATATACAGATAAACATGGTTAGTGAACATATATACAGATAAACATGGTTAGTGAACATATATACAGATAAACACGGTTAGTGAACATATATACAGATAAACATGGTTAGTGAACATATATACAGATAAACATGGTTAGTGAACATATATACAGATAAACATGGTTAGTGAACATATACAGATAAAATGGTTAGTGAACATATATACAGATAAACACGGTTAGTGAACATATATACAGATAAACATGGTTAGTGAACATATATACAGATAAACACGGTTAGTGAACATATATACAGATAAACACGTTTAGTGAACATATATACAGATAAACATGGTTAGTGAACATATATACAGATAAACACGGTTAGTGAACATATACAGATAAAATGGTTAGTGAACATATATACAGATAAACACAGTTAGTGAACATATACAGATAAAATGGTTAGTGAACATATATACAGATAAACACGGTTAGTGAACATATACAGATAAAATGGTTAGTGAACATATATACAGATAAACACGGTTAGTGAACATATATACAGATAAACATGGTTAGTGAACATATATACAGATAAACATGGTTAGTGAACATATACAGATAAAATGGTTAGTGAAAATACATACAGATAAACACGGTTAGTGGATGTACAGATAAACATGGCCAGTGGAAGTACAGATAAATATGATCAGTGGAAGTACAGATAAACATGGTCAGTGGAAGTACAGATAAACATGGTCAGTGGAAGTACAGATAAACATGGTCAGTGGAAGTACAGATCAACATGATCAGTGGATATACAAATAAACATCAATAGTTGGACATAAAAATTAATGTGTTGACAGGCCTTCAAAAATGTTTCTTAATTTTGCTGTATGTTAAGAAAGGTCATCGCCAGTATAAAGTAGTCATTCTTAAAAAGACTTTTACATCATTATCAGTTAGACAAAGCTGTTTTTCAGAAAAGATATGGTCTAGACTATACTGCAGCTTGTAAATAACTAACAATTTGACAGTGAAAATGCTGGGACCAACAAAAAAGGCTAAAACATAAAGGTCTCCAGATCTGAAAGAGACTGGTTATGACAGGTTATGTTGTACATGACTGGTATACATATATAATATAATCTACATCATTGTGATTGTAAAAGCATTTTAGCAGTGATATACTTTCATATAAGGTAGTTATAAAAACAATTATACTTATCATTACCTATTTCTTGCTTTTGTAAAACAACTTGAGCCAGTCCCCAGCGAAGACCCGACAACACAGATGCTGACATCACCATGATAAATCCTTCTAGGTTGAACTGTGTTGAGTGGTAAGTAAACATAAACAATCCCATCGACACAAGCAGAACAACAATGGACAGAGACCATCTCTGAAAAACACAATAAACAAGGGAAATATAACTTAGACCCATCAGTGATAAAACATTGGGTCTGCTTCTCAAAAGTATGTTTTTGAACAAATTTGGTCATGATATCTCCATGGAGGTCATACCAATATGTTGGTACAAAAATTCATTCCCTTCACTGTAGGATGCTCTAGAACAAATTTGAACAAATTCTTGTCATTCCCACTGAAGGATTATAAACAAGATAACCCAGAGCCATCTTGGTGCCCACCATTCTTTAATTTTTATTTGCTCTTTAAAACTTATATCTTCTTCCCAATTTTCACTTCTTACCTCTTTATGTTCTTAATTGTAAAAATTTGAAACTGTAAGAGATAGCAATAATCATCTTAACTTTCAAATCAAAGATGGTCAGCTATTGGCATTTTGATTTTCTGATCAATACCAAGGTCAAATGGGCACAACTAGAGAGTAAGGGTTAACCATACTTATAAATATGAAATCTGATTAAGATCCATCCAGTGCTCAAGAACTGTGTTCCCAAACTTTTATTGACCTAATCTACAACAGCTACCAATCAGCATTCATGTTTTTCTCATCAGTCCCAAAATGATCCATCCAGCATTTCTCCAGAAATAGTGAAAACAAACTGATTGTCAAAAATCAAAGTGGCCATCTGCCAGCTATTCTGTGTATTTAATTAGTCCCAAAATGGAATATGCACAATTAGGGAACAGGTGAACATATATAGGAAATTTGAGAATGATCCATTAAATATTCATGGTGGACAATGATGACGATGCATGACTGCAGTAAGTCATCTTGACCCTACCAGTCAGCTGACCTAACAAAAGGCACCAAGAGGATCCATCAAAATAAATCTGAGTAAGATTCCATACAACACTTCTTAAGAAATAAAAATAACAAAAGATAAGTGTCAAAATCCAAGATGGCCCAGTGTTTGCTATTTTGATTTTCTAATTATTCCAGAAATGAGCAATGCACAACACCACTGAGAAGACCAAGGGAAACCTACATATCATGAGAATTTGTAAGTTGTACGGCAAGTACCCCTCAAGAAATTGTGGAAACAAACATAACAAAATGCTGCCTGACAGTCAGCCCCTCCCCACCCCTAAAATCAGTCCCAAGCAATCAGCTATGAACAAGGGACAAATGATATCCTGCATAAGAAATCTGGGAATGATCTGTGTAACACCTCAAAGAAATAATAATAAAATCAAAGATGGTCACCTGTCACCTATATCCTTTGGATCAGTGCCATGTATGGTAAACTGAACTGATATATGATATTTAAAAACTTCAATCCCCATGACTTTCAAGTGTATATGCCCGTATAAAAAGTAGACAGTTTCTGAGCAAATTTGCACTTTTTCAGTGTTCTGGCCCAACGTTCGTCCCACTCCTGAAGGCTGAACAGTTTAGACAGGGGCCAAAGATTTTGCACTTCTGCTAGAGCAACTCTAGAACATTACAACTATATGAATATTGGATTGTAAAGTACCCCAGTAGAAATGACTTCTTGGCATTACCCCATTTTTCATGGTATTTGCCCAAACATCCCTGAAAAGTGGAACCTGAAATCTTAAGAGTTTGGATGCCCCTTCAGATATTGCTGCTAATGACCATATTTGATTGATCAGCCAAGTGGTTCTTTAGAAGAAGTCAAAAACGTAAAACATTAATGCATGCTAACAACGACAGGCGAAAAACAATCACAATAGGTCACTATGAGCAAAGCTCAAGTGACTTAAAAATACGAATAACAAGAAAAGTTTAGGGAAGGACAGACGACAGATGAACAATGGACCAAGGGCTATTTAAATAACCCATTATCTGACGATGGCGGGCTGAAAAGTTTATGATAAAGGACACTAAGTATTAACTTATTTTCACAAAATATTTCATGTAGTACATACCGCTTTTTCTATTCTAAATAATATGGAGAAAGCCAGGATAAATATCACAGCAGATGATTTTGTCATGGTATATCTATAAAGAGAACATGGATAACGATAATGTCGAGTATGTCAAACAATTTTAACTACAGAATAAAAAAGTATTTACATTATAATGTATTTACATGTATAATAATGAAATTTCTGTATAATACAATATATCTTGTAATCACAGCCAGACCTGAAATACTGAATTTTCTATAATTTCTTATTCATATTTTCATACATGTTTTATGTTGCATAAAAGATACAAATTTTTATTTACTGAACAAACAAAAGAGAAATTAATCCATCTGTACATATACTTAGGATACAAATGTAATAAAGCTGAATAAAAGGGATGTTATTATTTCAAACAATGATGGCAATTACTATGATTCCACAAAACAATTCCAGACTTTTCACTTACGATAAGACAGTAAATACACCTATAGGAAGATGATGTCATATCATAGCCTTCCTGATTTTAAAACATTGAATGTATAGTAACTACCAGTATTCTTTACTTACAAAGACACAGTTATGAACTCAAAGCTCCAATTGGACAGTCCAATATCTAAGCCACTGGCCATGCCTGTAACACATTTTTGTAAAATCAAATGGAGATTTCCTCTTGCATCAACATGTTGTATTAGTATGATAGACATATCATAGCCACTTCAGTAATAGATCTTAAATCATCAGATATTACCTGTTGTAACTACTGTCATCAGATATAACCTGTTGTAGCTACTGTCATCAGACATTACCTGTTGTAGCTACTGTCATCAGACATTACCTGTTGTAGCTACTGTCATCAGATATAACCTGTTGTAGCTACTGTCATCAGATATAACCTGTTGTAGCTACTGTCATCAGACATTACCTGTTGTAGCTACTGTCATCAGACATTACCTGTTGTAGCTACTGTCATCAGATATAACCTGTTGTAGCTTCTGTCATCAGATATAACCTGTTGTAGCTACTGTCATCAGACATTACCTGTTGTAGCTACTGTCATCAGACATTACCTGTTGTAGCTACTGTCATCAGACATTACCTGTTGTAGCTACTGTCATCAGATATAACCTGTTGTAGCTACTGTCATCAGACATTACCTGTTGTAGCTACTGTCATCAGACATTACCTGTTGTAGCTACTGTCATCAGATATAACCTGTTGTAGCTACTGTCATCAGATATAACCTGTTGTAGCTACTGTCATCAGACATTACCTGTTGTAGCTACTGTCATCAGACATTACCTGTTGTAGCTACTGTCATCAGATATAACCTGTTGTAGCTTCTGTCATCAGATATAACCTGTTGTAGCTACTGCCATCCGACATTACCTGTTGTAGCTACTGTCATCAGACATTACCTGTTGTAACTACTGTCATCAGACATTACCTGTTGTAGCTTGTCATCAGACATTACCTGTGGTAGCTTCTGTCATCAGATATTACCTGTTGTAGCTTCTGTCATCAGACATTACCTGTTGTAGCTACTGTCATCAGATATAACCTGTTGTAGCTACTGTCATCAGACATTACCTGTTGTAGCTACTGTCATCAGACATTACCTGTGGTAGCTTCTGTCATCAGATATTACCTGTTGTAGCTTCTGTCATCAGACATTACCTGTTGTAGCTTGTCATCAGACATTACCTGTGGTAGCTTCTGTCATCAGACATTACCTGTTGTAGCTTCTGTCATCATACATTACCTGTTGTAGCTTCTGTCATCAGATATTACCTGTTGTAGCTTCTGTCATCAGACATTACCTGTTGGAGCTACTGTCATCAAACATTACCTGTTGTAGCTACTGTCATCAGACATTACCTGTTGTAGCTTCTGTCATCAGACATTACCTGTTGTAGCTACTGTCATCAGACATTACCTGTTGTAGCTTCTGTCATCAGATATTACCTGTTGTAGCTACTGTCATCAGATATAACCTGTTGTAGCTACTGTCATCAGACATTACCTGTTGTAGCTACTGTCATCAGACATTACCTGTGGTAGCTTCTGTCATCAGATATTACCTGTTGTAGCTTCTGTCATCAGACATTACCTGTTGTAGCTTGCCATCAGACATTACCTGTGGTAGCTTCTGTCATCAGACATTACCTGTTGTAGCTACTGTCATCAGACATTACCTGTTGTAGCTACTGTCATCAGACATTACCTGTTGTAGCTTCTGTCATCAGACATTACCTGTTGTAGCTACTGTCATCAGACATTACCTGTTGTAACTACTGTCATCAGACATTACATGTTGTAGCTACTGTCATCAGACATTACCTGTTGTAGCTTGTCATCAGACATTACCTGTGGTAGCTTCTGTCATCAGATATTACCTGTTGTAGCTTCTGTCATCAGACATTACCTGTGGTAGCTTCTGTCATCAGATATTACCTGTTGTAGCTTCTGTCATCATACATTACCTGTTGTAGATACTGTCATCAGACATTACCTGTGGTAGCTTCTGTCATCAGATATTACCTGTTGTAGCTTCTGTCATCAGACATTACCTGTTGTAGCTACTGTCATCAGACGTTACATTTTGTAGTTACTGTCATCAGACATTACCTGTTGGAGCTACTGTCACCAAACATTACCTGTTGGAGCTATTTGAAGTAAGTATGGTCGCCATGAGAGAGTCACCCTCTCTGTCTTTGTCCTACATTCTACAATCCATCGCACCATTCCAGCCATTATGAACTTAATGATGAGGTGAGAGAGTGTGAAAGAAAGTGGAATCTGAAAATGCTGTAAAGTAGGAAAAAACGTCAACTTAAAACTAGTTTGTGAAATACAAATTTCATATCAATTTGTTGTGTGTAAGAAATGACATTTGATAAGTTACACCACAATTATCCTTCATTCTTCCTTCCTACAATAATTTTAAGCTCAAATTCATAAAATGTAAGTTAAATTTTCTCCCTTGTATGGTGAAAATAACTGCTGCAAAGTTGTTAGAAAGAAAACAAAATAGCTATATTGTATAGTGCCATGATGTTTGAAAAAAAATAATACTGTAAATGAGATTAACAATCATTACCATTCTTCCACTAGAGATTAAACCCAGGACCATCGGTTTAGTGTGCTCAAATGACTGAGCTAAAGAGAAGTTCTCTCTAGCCAAGTGATACATTGCAGCTAGTATTTACCACAACTAAATACTCCCCCAGAAAAGAATTTGTCCTCAAGTTTCCACAGGTAATAGAAATGCTTGGGGAACAATTACAAACATTATCCTAGATACTCTACATGGCATTGAACCCAGGAATTCTGGCTTTCTATGCATAGTCTTATGTTTAGCTGATCAAATAAAAAGGGAGTTCTATCGTAATTAATATGACAAATCTATTGTGTTTATAACTTGAAATATTGTAACTAAACATTCAAACAATATATCAAGTCAAGTTGAGAGTTGTCACATTTCAAATGGATTTTCTTACCCACCCAAACTCTGGAGTGGAAATGAAGTTGAAAAAAGAATTAACAGAAATTAAGTTTTTACATGTTTCAAATCATTTTGATTTACATTATCCAGGCCTGTAAATACTTGAGAGAAACTTGCCTTACTCAGTCTGAATAACCTATGAAGCAAATTTTTAATATCAGTTGTCCAAGGTGTTCTGACTATATAGCAAAGATCAATATTTTATATGTGTCGTGGCCAAGGTATTACCTAGCAGGTTGTCAGTATTTGTTGCATATTTGACTCCTGATCAGTGAATATAAATCAAGTAGGCTTTTTTAAATACATAATGCTTCAAGGTATATTTATAGATATAAACAGATGTCTGAAACTGGAGATCAGATCAACTATACGGGCTCAACAACACAAGACGGACTGGTTTAATTAGGGCTGGAACAACCAGTCTGCCAGACAAGGAGAGACCATAACTCTTAAGACAAGAGTATTAGCAACTTTGCTAAAAGTTAGCGAAAATTAATAGCAAAACTTACGTTAATGAAGGCTTTATTGTAGAATGTAAGGCCAATAGAGAAAGTGTAATAAAACAACACTAGAGCTAGCACTTTGATGGCCGACAAAATAAAGCCTACGGAACATATGGACTTTTTAACGGCTGTTGCTGTCGGATTGACAAGTCCTCTCAGCTTCTCCAAGTCATTATACTTTTTCTTCTTCCCCATTATCGTAATGATTATGTACAATTCCTGAAATAAACATTAAAAAACTTAATTGTATTTCTCATTAAAATACACTGCACTATACAAATGATCGGAGACTATAGTACTGAAGATTTTTTTAAGTTGAGGGGGTTGGAAGTACAACATACTTATTATATAACCGGATGATGGCGCCTTTTGTCAAACAGACAGAACCTGGAAAAGTCCCTATCCTATCATTTGTTTACGTTGGACCTAACAGCTGTATTATCACAGTCTTGTCATAAAATCACAGACTTAAAATCTATATTTAAGTCCGTGAGGAAACTTGCTACCTTCTAAAGTTCTATGACAGATAGCAGGTACCATTAATATAAGTGAATGGCATGAAGTTTATCATGAATTTCTTTGCTGACATGTATACAGCATCCTGTTTTCGTCTTTCAATACAATCTGTACACTACGGTTGATCAACAAAACCTGCCACATGACATTTGTTGTAGCCTAAGCGACGACACAATCCCGCTTAAGTACTAGAAAAAAAACTACCAAATTAATGCTCAGCAGTTAACATTTAATTTTCTTCGGTATATTTCATGTTAGTAAATCGGAGTACATAACGTGACGACAATATTCTTCCATGCCTGTATTTCTCCTCAGTATTATATCAGGGAAGTGCCGAAATAATGTTACTGGTCGTTCTGGACCACTTGTCATTACGTCCTAAGACGATCCAACCTCAGAAGCTTCATGGTTCCGGTCCTGTAATGTCTTCGGTCGTTTTCGCTTTTCGGTAGTTGAAACAAATGGACCGTCTGAACCTGCAGTGAAAAGTCATGTACAGATCGGGAACGAAGTGTTTTAAGCTTTACATACAACATTTCCAACATCCGGTACAACTGCGTTCTTCTATCGTGGGCCACCTCAATATATGCCCCTGCTCCGAGTTACGCGAAATTCCGATCCCTTTAATTTTATCTATTTATTTCGAAATATGTTTAAACTGTACATTTCTTATTTTTGTACCAATTGTAGCGGTATTTTCGCACTAGTTCGTATTACAAGAACTGCGTGCCAAAAAGTTACGCCATTTTCTTTTTTTCAGTACTCTCAAAATACTTACAATCATATGGTTTAACTGTAAATTCTTTTCTTTCTGACCGATCAACGGGGTTCGTACTTTTTCTTTAATCAAGTCCAACATATATATCCTCGTTTTTCTCTTGTTTTCATCGTCGGTTGAAATAAAAAGATAAATTTCGTAACTCCTCAGGCATGGTTAGTCTAAGTGACTAAGTGAGAGCACGAAAATCAAACGTTGTTAACTTACATCTAGAGTGAATAACGGTCCTTTGTTAGATATTGATAGCTAACATCTTTTACATCTGTAATAAGTGTTATGATCAACTAGAGTTGTGCCATCGACAAGTAGTTTTGTTGTTGTTGTTGTTGTTGTTGTAGTTTGTCAGCCTCTACAAAAATGTATAAGATGTCAATATTTATTTATTTATTTATTTATTTATTTATGTCGTGCTCTATCCATTTACTTATTGCAAATAACTATGAATCATCTTGGACAGCGTCGTTCAAGTAACCGCATAAAGTCGTGTCTAGTTATGGATTCCCATGCAAAATGGACAAAATCAATAGGCCGATAGGGCTCGTATCGCTCACCTGCTATAATTTGCCAAAATTGGTTTATTTCAACCAAGGGAAAATTATTTAAATCACTTGTATCTATTTCCACGGATAGACTCGACCCTCCTCCAAAAGAGGGTTAGATACAGATGTTTGTAAATAATAAACAATCAACACACATACAAAATAGCATTCTGATATTCTACAATGATATGGCGATAAAATTATATATAGGCGTGACATGTGTTGTCGCGTCTTAGTAAATCTCGCTATCGCTTATTAACCAGACTAAGTGAAATGGAGCGATCGTCAGTGTGCCGAGAGACACGGGATACTACCATTCCGAGCGCACACTCCCAGAGTTACTGCCCTTGTTTTCAATCTGTTAGTATGATAGCCAATAGGTGCCAAGACATTGCAGATCATTTTAGACTGAAAAAAAAATCGGAATTATAAAAACAAAAAAGCAGCGAAAACTCCCTAACGTCCGGTAATTTCCAACTTGCAGAGGCTTGCCATAGTCTGGAAACGTATTTTGCTGAGGACACTGGCATTTTCTATACTCATGTATATTCCAAATTTAAATCTAATACGTAAGAAATAATAAAAATTGTAATTGACCAACATCCATAACCAGTTTGACTTGTGACATATGACACCTGTAAATTTACCTTTCTACCCACTACACGTCAAATGAAGATAGCTGATCTAGAGAAATTACAATAGGATATATACCTTTCTTATCGCCGGAAAAAGTCCTAAGGTACTATTTCCTGAAAATAGCTATGGTGACCTTGGCCTTTTCCCAACGTCCCTTAAACTTAAGCTTGTTCAATTTATTTAAGACATTTATATGCCTTTTAAAGTGTGTGATTTTTTATGAAATCTCTGAAAGAGTGTAACAAATGTGATCATGACCTTGACCTAACAACTCTGAAACTTGTCCAAGATATTTTGATTGTTTACATAATCAGAATCCCTCAAGGAATGAAACTGTTTTTCACAGACGGAAAGGACGGATGAAGAGGAAACCTGGCCCCACCTACCACCCATGGTTTCAGCAGGGACGTATAATACTGTATTATACGTCCCTGGTTTCAGTAATAAAATGTTTGCTAGTTGTAATATTCAGGATTGAAATCCATGATGATGACGAATTTCTAGACTAATTGGGGGAAAACAATATCGACAACCTTAGACCCATCTAGGATTAGTCACCTCATATTTCTGTTACTATATCTAATGGCCAGAAAAAATGCCAGAAAGATCTTTCTCAAATTGTATTTTTATTGTTCGCTCTGGAATCATCCACCTGTCAATACATTAAGATACATGAAAATATCAGAATATATCAAGAAAAAAATCAAGAAAAAAATATGCAATTTATAGAACCAATTTGATCAACCTATTTTGAGCGCAAATATCCCTTATTGGTTTCTCCAGAGACGTATATATCACGTACATATGTCTCTGGTTTCTCCTAGTTATCTGGACTGAATGTTGACCTTGTCACTAAGGTGAGAATAGTACTGAGAGTAAGATAATGTCTGGCTGTACAAGTCTAACATTTCGGAAGATCTCATTGCTTTCTCATACAGACAAATTCCGCATTCTCTACTCATCATTTGAAAAATCGGAGGGTTAAATTCCTGTAAATGCAGTGTGAATACTGGCCAAATTTTTACTAATTTCCAATTTTAAAAATTCTCAACAAATATTGATTGTCATTAACAATGGATTTTTTCTCCTTCCTTCTTCTCATTTTTTTTTTTTTTTAATTTGACTGCTTTTCTTACTAAAATGAGTTGTATACAATATGTATAGGCCAATCAGAAATTGATGGAAATAATGTCCTTCTCGTAATTATTAGCCGCTGACAGTGAGTACTAGACTGACATTAGTATCCGAGACACTTTTCTATTTCTTTTTGTGTGTGATATTTAATATATAAATAACAAATTTGATAACCAAGTTTCTAATAAAGAATTAAATGAAAGCATTGACAAGTCTTTCTTTCTGCATTTAACTCCGCCATGAAAGTTTGATACATAATTCAATTTTTTATAAAAAGGATACGAAAAAAGATGCTGATTGAAATGAAATCACATTAAGATAATCAGTAAAGGAAATATCCCTTTATATTTTGCATCAGTACTGTGTCGAGTTCAATCAGTGTCATTATATCTATAGACTAACAACTAACAAAACTGACCATTATGACGTCACATCAAACAAGCCATGTACACCCAAGGAAGCGTCCAGTGGGCGGCGGCTATCTTTTGATCTGTTAGGGCCCGTCCCCCCAAAACTAGTGACCGGATGGATCTATTTCATTCTTAGGGATGAATGTCTTCATATTTTTTTTCTTCTGTTTTTTCTTCATTTCGATATAATTGTGTTTCAAAATAACTGATGTACTGAAATATTGAATTTACATCGAAAGTGATTATTTATTAAATGGTGTCATTCTTACCTTACAATTTTCCTTACAAAAACTTAACGAACGCCAACATCAACCAACCCTTCTTGTCAGTCGAGAATTGGACTCTGCCATTTCTGTGAAAGTTCGCTAAGGACGAATGCTGTCATTTCCGAATAAGAAATTTGACAGTTAGCAGATCAAAGGAGCATCGGACTGAAACACGTAAGTTCTATTTCTAAGAAAAAATATATCTACTAATCCTTAATTTGATAGTGATGTGTCAGCATTTTATAAAATTGTCAAGGTATGTTTGCATTTCATTTAATCACCTGACCACATATGTAACTGAAACATATACTTATTTCAATGTTGGAAAAAAAAGCTACCTTCTCTTTCTATCGTTAAACCAGGTGTAAATGAAAATATTGTAATAAAATTCTGATAATTATTCAAACCTACAGTATTTCGCCGGTATTGTACAACAGTTTAGTTGCTATAACTCTAAATTAACAGGTAATTTAACCTTACTATTGACAACAGTAATCAGAAAGTGGAGAATATTGTTTATATCAATACGATGAATTATGTATACATGTTGCACACAAGCATTAAATTTCATTAACAGATATACTGGGGATTATTTAAAATTAACAAGATGTTATAGTCACTATTTGACGTATATTATTACTATATCTATGTAAATATATAGGTATGTCTCTTTATGAGACCCTAAATTCGAATACAACATAACCGATAATGGTGATTAATTAAATATACATGAAAGAACGATTAGTTTTTTGTTTTTTTGTTGTTTTTTTTTGACAAGTTTTTACATAATACACAATATACAAGAGAAACCACACAAAAACATACACCCACACTCTCACAATTGTGTGCTCTTACTTGAATATGCCTTACACATATACATGCATCATCATCATCATCATCATCATCATCATCAAGCGCGTGTATCTACTACTCATCAACATTCACACCCACTTACAGATAAGATTTTATATCTTGTAGGATTCCTCCTATTAAGTATACAAGTGAACGATGTAGCGATGTTAAACTTACTTAGGGTTTAATAAGTGATAGCATTCAGTCCGAGCAATTTCTTGATAACTTTGTGATAACAATAATTTTGTGATAGTAACGCTTTCATACCTTAATGACAATTATGATAACTTTCTGACAACTTTTAAATAACAGCACATGTTGTAAATTTGTAAAAATAGCAACATTTGGATAAGTTCGTGAACAAAAACAACATTTTTATAACTTTGTAAATAATAACATCTCTTTAATAAC